AAAAAAAAAAAAGAAAAAAAGAAAGAAAGAAAACAGTACTAAAGGGGCCAATGATAAGTATTATATATTATTGAAGAATATGATACCGCAGGAAGTATAACGCACACAACAGCGCGCGCCTGAAGGCCTTCCCTAGAACTCACGTGATCTGCGCACACTACAAATAAACAATGTCGCCTTTCCACAGGCATTGGGTAAAGGTACCGGTATCAAGCATCCTGAGGGTCGAATATCTTCCTACCTGGGCACCCAGGCAGCTATGCCTTAGGACACCTAATTATTTCACGGTATTAGCTAGGGATCATTGGTAGGGCTAGCTGAGCTTTCATTTTTCCTTCCCATTCATTTCATTGATTGGTTCTTTTCATGTTGGGTTTTTTCTTCAGCGCACCTCAGCAGCTTCATCAGATGCGACCTGGCGAGTTTCCAATCTATTTTGATCGCATGGGCTTCAAAACCTGTTCTCCAAATGCTTTGGCGATTGCACCTGCCACTCAGCATCTTTATTTATTTGTCAAGTTTCACCAGGGAGTCGTATGACCACCGAGATATCTATACTACGACAAACTCTTTCCTATCTTGGAGTATATACAGTGGGCGATATTCATAGCTAGGCTTCGAACAACATATCATGGTTCGTACCAAGTACGGAAAAATAGAGTGATGGCCTTTGGCTAGATCTTAACGCCGACCCTAACCAGTCTCTTCTACAATCTATCACATTAAGTCACGCCTTTATACAACATGACCCATATCGTGTTACCTTAAATTTACAATGGGGTTAAAATCCATTTCAATCATCTTTATCCGTGCGTTGAGCACATGATTATACAGAAACATATATTTTTGCGTGGCCGATTTCTAATTGGCATTTGTTTCCCGGATGGGATACAACCGGCAAGGTATTTAGTAGGGATTCCAGTCGGATAAGCTTTACCCACTACATGAGAGCTTCTGCGTGTTTTCACTACTTGTAGATCCTATTAATAAACCATATGAACCAACGGATAACATCTACAAACCATGGTACTTTGTGCATTGATGCATGTAATTCAACAGTGCAGTCAGAGGCAGCCACTCATATTACGCGCTCAGATCGGCGAGCCGTGGTAAACGATATCGCCACCCAGACTACACTTACCGAGAACAGTATCTCAATGCACGCGAAGCTAGCGGGATCTAGTTCACGCTGGTGTTCATTAAGCATCGCCTTATTGGTAGGTCTCAGGTATCTAGAGATATTCGTTCAGGATGACGTCTACTATATCTCCCAGGTCAGTGTCCGGTTGGTCCAGGCTTACGAGTCTCAATTCTTTGAAACAAGGAGCACTGTCAAGCTAGCTCTAAACATAAATATGCTGTATCTCCCTTAGAGGGCCATCACTTCTAGTCACCTCATTTTCAAGCCCCAAAACCTATACTATTCACGATCATGAAAAACTTCATCATTTTAGCGGCTCTTGCGGCCAGCGCCCAGGGCCTCATGGGTCGCACTACTAATTGTTGCTTCCATCTTACTGCCTCAGGCGGTGCCTCGGGCACCGTTGGCCAGCTCAGCGATGGACAAAACCGTATTGGTGACAACACTCTGTCTCCTGCGCAATTCTGTATTAGCTCAGATGGATCTATCACGGATGGCAGTGGCCGTGGCTGCATTCTAACTCGTGAATAACACACCTTTTGGACACTGGAAGAAGCTTTAACAAACTAACAAACAGCTTAGCACCAACTACTCAGTTCCAGTGTGATCAGGGTGCCACACCCGAGTCGGGCTTCTCTATTAGCCCATCTGGCCTGCTAGAGTTTCAAGGTGGCTCTGACTTCATTGCTTGTGACACTGGCCAGAACGGTGGTATGAACATCCATGTCACTCCAAGCAAGGCCCTCGGGAAGTGTGTAAACATCCAATTGAGGGCCGACTCATGCGTACCCTCTGCCTCCTCTACCCCCTCTGCCCCGCCAGCCACTTCGTCCGCTAGCAGTAGCTGTCCGACCACGTTATCATCCGGCAACTTTGAGTTTCCTCACCTGATCATCCCTGTCAACTCAGAGTCTCCCAATAAGCCTTTAGGCAACTCATTCAACGGCACGGTGACCTCGACCATCTCAAGTATATTTAACTTCGATATTCCCCAGTCTGATTCTGGCAAGACGTGCAGATTAGTCTTCCTATTTCCCCGGAAAGCTGATCTTCAGACCTCATCCTTTAGTTTCAGCGGTGACGGCAACATAAACTTTTCCAAACTTTCCAAGGCTGCTAATACCTCTACTACCTTTGACAATGCCCCCTCTATCTCACAGGACCTAGGTAGTATCACGGTTTCACCTGGAAATTCATTCGTTGTCTCAACCTTCTCTTGCCCCGCTGGTGAGGCTATTGCCTTCGAGATGAAAAATGCCGGTACCACGGACCTTAACTTCTTTGAGGACTTCAACCCGTCTCCGTAAGTTTACTCGTCTTGGTAGACACACCTTTCAATTGAACGGAAGCTAATACCCCTTCAAGTCTGGGTCTTTTCATCACTGTCTGCTAAAGAAATACGCGTAACCTCGGTGTCCTTCTCAGACTCTCATCATTGATAGTTGATCATCTGTGTCGAATCCTGAGCAGAGTGATTATGCCGGAAACCAACAATTTGCCCAAAGCATCATGCCTCATGTGAATCTGATCTGGTCACTCTAATTTCTGTGAAGAAAAGTCATTCTTTTTTTCGTTGACGGCCTGGGAAAACATGAAATTGGCGGGGCTTTTGTACTATGTCAATCCTGAAATCGATTAATTATTTCTCTAACCCAGCAGCGGTGGTGTAGTAAAGACTGTACTATAGTAGGATATAATAGAGGCGCTGGTCCTAATCAGTTTATTGCTCGTGTGATTGATCGTGTTGGAATTTGTAAATATAACTAAATCTATATCACTATAGATATCTAAGCTTCAAATAATTCCCAACTCTACAGAGATTTATAGAATATGGTAAAAACTTCTTCGGCGTACCTAATCAGGCTCGCGGTATGCCTTGGCCCTTCGGAGCGTAGTAGGCCAATAGGCTGCAGGATATATGGAACGAGCGAGATTAGATATATTTTGGATTACAAGTAGAAGATATATAGATTAGAATACAATAAATTACTTAAAAATCTCCTGGCCAAAGACAATAGTTGCCAAGGTGGGAAGTGCAGCATACTTAGTGATTCTCGAACGTTATTATCCTTCTGTTGACTTTTCTGGAATGTTATATTCCCACATACAAACGAAGCTTTTACCAATAGGCGGGTTGTCGCCCGTTCTGCTCATCAAAAATGTAATTTATTCATAGTGTCACCGACCCGGTAAGCCCGGAGGTGTTTCCGTCCCCACCGGCTCTCTCATTCCGAGGGTCAAGACTAAGAAGCCCAATACTATGAAGAGCTTATACTCTTGACTTGGAGACGGTTCGGATGAATTGACTCTCTTGGTAGCCCGCAGACGAAGTGGGCTTTCTACTGAGAAACCAACGCGTCCGGGAAATGACATATTGAACTGCGAGATAACATTGTTGACATAGTATTCTTACGAATTAGGAAGACTTCTGGAGTTGCACTAGGTGACCCAGGATCTACCAGCCAGAGTGGGGAAAGTCAGTCTCTGTGTCTATATCCGACCCATGAACTTGAAATTCGGTCTCGTATCGATCTATTCACCCGCCTGCAACTGACCCCCGAGCTGGAGGACGGATATCTTGAGGCAAAATGCAACGTAGTAAGCCCCTTTGAGTCAATCTGTAACGCTACAAGCTTGGTGAATCATACGACGCCTCCATGGTTCAAGGTTGTCTGTTTGGTTTCTTGTTCGGAAGGGACTCATTTCTGCCTCAGAGTCTCTTGATTGTGGCGGAGGAAAGTATTCCCTAACGCCTTTATTCATCACAAAGCCCCCATGCGACTGCTTCAAAGCATCCGACCGTACATTGGATCGGTCATATCAAAGTTAAACCAGTCATGGATGGCCCTCCCATAATCTTCAGCTTGTAGAAAGAAGTCGCCCTGATTAATCATGTTCAGGTCTGTCAAACTATCGACACCCCCCAATTGTGTGGCACTGGGTCCTTGGCTGGTAGACCCAATTGGTGTGTTCAACCTATTGAGTTGGTGGCGCGGAGTGTTGTCCTCGGGTGCATAGGCAGAGATCTCCTTCCAAGCCGTCTTATGACCCGAGATGCCTGCAGTACCAACCATGGAAAACTCTGCAACATCTGACTCATGACATTGATCCTCCACATCGATGATACCATCAAACATGGATTTATCGGTATTCGTTTCCCTTCTGCCCGCTTTTTCGTATATCAGAATATCCCAGAGTAACTGAGCATCGATCGACCAGGAGAGGTGAGGCTCGTGGGGCCCGTTGGATTGAGTGTCAATCGGTGGAACCGTAGTAATGCTATCTTCAAGTTTGCGAAGGTTTTGCGTCTGAGTAAATGAAAGTCAGCCGGGGCCCATAGCACTGTACTAGGCAAGAGATACCATCGAGAAAACGAAAGGCCATATTGATCCCATGCGGTCCAGAAATCGCATGCACTTATCGTAACCGTCTTGTGCTCTCTTGCGAAGGCTGTCATCCTCAACGAAACTGTGTTGTAAGTGAATCGTAGCAACCACGACCACGCAGTGGGCAATGGAAGGATCGGAAATCTGGAAATTTTGCGTTTCCACAAGATCGAGAAAACAAATGGTCCAGGCAGTATGCCGGGAGATATGATCAAATGATTGATGCATGAAGGTTTGTGGCATCATGTGCCGGAAATTTTTCAAGCGCATGGATAAGAGGAAAGGGTGATTTATTAGAGTCGGAATGGCAGCATGAATAAATTGTATAAATAGCCATGGACCCCAATAGTCCCTTCGCTGATGTAGTGCCTCCGGGGATACACCCCCAAAATTATTCTTTGCAAATCGGTACCTGAGTGGGAATCTACAGTCCAGCTCAAGGTTGCGCAACATGACAATTGAATAATCAGATTGTGGTTCCCATGGGGGAGGATCTTCCGATCCGACTTGTGCAGCTGCGTAAATCCGGGCCATATGCCATACCTCAGCAGCTTGGGACATGTAAAATAGGATGCCGCGGTCTGAGTCATCCTCGGGACCTGGCTCATAACGCAGAGGAAGTCTAATGGATCGATGATTGGTTGTCTCCAACATACTGCTGTTCCTGAACAATGTCCCTATGCTCGTAGCCTTTGTTGCATCGGGAATAGATGCCTGGAGGCATTGCAGTAAGGAAATGCTTTGAATGCACAGGGAGCATTCCAATGGGTCCCCAAGGGATGACGCAGCCGGGAGGCAGCTTGCAAAATAGCTGGCCATTGCAAGGTCAAGGCCTGCTTGCATCACATCTCCATCTTTTACAGATAGCGTTAATCCAACTTTCCAGACTTTGCACACCTATCAAGTCGTACTCACCGGCAAAGCAGGCCATGCTCAGAAGGCAGAGGGTCTGTAATGTTGAAAGCTTCACCTTGCTGTTTGCAACGTGTTCCATGACTAATTTTCGACACAGGCCAGACATTGAGTCTATCTCGTGTCGAATGGTGGGTTTGAGATGGCCGGGTGGAAATCGGCAAGTCAACGTCTGTATTGCTAGCTGAAGCTCCTGATCACGGAATTGGACAGAGTTGGGGAAATCCTCTTGTCTGAATAGACACAGTGGTTGGTTGTGGCACCATTTCTGGTATAACTGACCAACTTCAACAAGCCTGTCTTCTCCAGCCGGGAAGATTGGGCTTCCAAGATCAGCTTGAGGGCTCGCCATAATAGGGGTTATATCGCACTCACAGTCCGACGTCATGAATAGGCTGCAATTCAATGGTTTGGTGTGCTTGTGAGGGCGTCGGAGAGTGTGTAGATTTCGATGATCTGGTAAGGACACCCGTCGGTGAAGCTCGTGTGTTGGAACGGCTTCATTGGAGACAGTCAGTGCTTGAACTAGGCGACTGCAAAATGTGAGTCTTACTCTAGAGACCGCAGGACTTGATCTAGCTTGTCTTCAAGTGCCTCCATCCGACGCCCCTGCACACCCGTCAGTAGACGCCAACTACACGGCTGGAGCTCTGTTCATTTGAATCAGATCGAATGATAATATGGAACTTACGAGAGTGCCATGATGCCTTTCTTGATTACGGAACCGCTGGCCAGGCGGACCGGAGCTATAATTGCAAGGCTGTCCCAGGCGCTGGCAAAACGAGCACGTTGGCCGTTGTCCAGGGCATTTGACCTTTTTCCGGCTAGTTGTATCTCATTAGACGGCCAAAGTATCATCCAAACTTGATTTAACCTTACCGACAGGGCTCGCAAGCCTGATGGACCCGTCGTTGTCTCGAGCCTTCCATCTAGAAGGATACATGAAGAGAGGAATTGTGGTGGTGTGATACGTCGAATACCGTACCCGTATTACAGCGCTACAAGGTTACCACGTGACGGGCCACAGGTGTGAGGCTGAGGCACTACGACGGAGTTACTCCGGTGTCAGAAACCGAGTACTGATAGCAAAACTAAGTGTGGCTTTCAATCTCATTCCCAGCCTAGAGGGTTAGACACCACCAGGTGGAAATACGCCCCTCTGATAAGTATACGCAGATGTTGCAAAAGCTTCCAATAGTACATCAAAACAAAGTAGACAACGTGTAGAATCACTCATCTCAAGCTAAGGCCAGCGTCGGCATTGGTATAGTCTGCCAACCTTTCTGGCCTTCTTCACGACAGGGAGTAATAACCTGCAACCCTTGTCGCCCACAGAAGCCATCATATCTGGCAATTCGCTCAACAGTCTGAAAGGAGCCACTTCCCTTGTCATAGGTAACGAACACAGTGTCTTCGACATTCTGTCCTGGAACCTCCTCTCGATGAGGGTTATACCAAGGCAGACCAATAAGATGGTTACCGATATTATGGATAATCGAGGATAGCCTCTCAAAGCGACGAGTCGTCCAAAGCCAAGACAGTGTAGGGCTATCATACGCCACACGCACGAACGGGTTCATTTAGATGCTCGTCTCGGTCAAGTCGCCTGGATTATGTTGCGGCGCCTGGATATCTACATGAATGAGACAGCATTTAAAGGCATCCCAAAACAGATTAATATCTTGTAAAGCACGGAACCGTGCTGGGAGTCGTGTCCCCGCTATCTCAGTCTTTTGCCCGGTACCACCTCGGAAAGACTGCGCCTCGAAGGCTACCATACCTCCCCAGCAACTCCGGACCAGCACGGTATCCCTTCCGTTGAGAACGTCCTTACCGCTTTGTCCGCTGTCAGAGCCCGAGAACCAGGGGAGGAAAGGGAGGCCCATGCTGCACCCCTCTGAATCCCGGGAAGCATAGGTATCGTAGAATTTGAAGGGGTTGATGAAATCAACGGCACAAGCGGCGCGGTATTGCGCTATCACTGTATCGTCGACGTTGGTAGAGAACAGCAGCTCTAATGCGTCGATGGGATTAAAGGCGACGTCGTTTAGATACAGATTCTTATCGTAATGAATCGTAGTTTTCTCTAACGGGTTCAAGAGCCCGGTTGCGAGCCTCGGCTAAATACACAATGCTCTTTGTTCGCTCTTCACCACCCGGAATGGTAACTTTGGGGGGGGGGTTATGCAGATTACATGGCCCCCGTATAAAATTGACTTGGTGCATGCAACGCGTTTCTCTAGAGCTTGCAATGCGACTTTGCCATCGCTGTCATTTTCGTATAGACTGAGGAAGGCATTGTCCTCTCCAAGTAGGTTGATAAACTGGAGAACACTGGACCTCCAATGTCCTCATACGAGCTCTCCACTGGGGTCATACAGGGTTGCAGCCATGAAGACCTTCTCATTGCGCGGGTTCCCTCGGCCAGGTCGGTCCGAGTTCAATAGCTTAGCGCGAAGCGACAAGTAGTGAGCTAGAAGTCGCGTGTATATCGGATAAAGCATCCATGTAACAATAGAAAGGCTTACAATAGTCCAGACGAAGACATAAACATAGTACTAAGGCGGTCGCCACAAAAGGCACCGATGGTATCGAGGATCGAGGATGCCGCGGCAAAGCCTGGATCAACGGCCTATAATATCTGCGACGACAATACCCAATTAACGAGAAGATCCCTGAAAAGAAAGACATATGTTCTGAGAGGGGTTCAGGGCAGATCGCTCTTGCGGTCTGACACCGGCCTCATAGAAATCATAACGCCTTTGGGAGTCAACAGAAAGCCACGTCTCCAGTCGATGTCCCTCAGACAAGGGGTGCGAATCAGCCGAACCCTTACATAACTATACACATGACTCAGCTATTCGGGTAGTTCGGAAATGCTGCATGACGTAAAATTGGTAACCTACTAATGCTTTGGGGCTGAAGCCATGCAGCAACGTTGATCCTTAGGTAATGGATTCCCTACAAGATTGACCAGTCACATCACAACGAGAAATGTTGGTAGTTAACAGTTCCGTATTAATCAATGCAATGTGAACAGGAGGCGGGGAAGTTCGGTCATAAATTCCATTGATGTGCATAACTCCCTGTGGTACCTGCTGGGAATTGGGTTGATCTTCTTAGGGCATCTAGGGCATATCTCCCCGAAACGTGATTCGTTGAACCCCGATCTCACTCTACGGAGATCCTCAGTATCAGGAATAAAAATAAAAACAATAACAAAGCATTTTTTACATGGTTTCATCTCGTACTCAATGTCCCGTACCTTAAGCTCTGCCTTCTCTCCGATATGCATGCATAAGATGGACGAGGTTGGTCCTGACTCAACGTAGTTGGAGAAAGGTTTGGAATCGATCGCAACCCGAGGTAATATTAGATTTCTGCGTGTCCACTGTGGACCCATTGGGGTTTGGAGCCCCATTCTCGTTGTAACGTTACTGAATATCCTTCCATCTTTAGACATGGCACAGCCTGATGATCGGTGTACTCCATGCGCTTCAGGTATATGTGGGGCGCTGCAGCAAGGGATAACACGCGGTTAAACAACCACACGAATGCTTATAACCACCATGAAGACGATCATGCGGCATCGATAATGGAGATGGCTGGTTCTGTTATAGCTTAGGATAACCAAAATGATGAATTGCTGAGGGTTCTACAGTCGAATACTGCTTCAGCAAAGATAGGATAATACATGTTCTGGGGACTAGGAAAATGTAGTATGAACCGATGTCCGAGGAGGCTTCTCCTTCCTGTATAGGAAACGAGCTGCATCGGAATAGATTCAACTCCGTGATGGGGCTATGATGTGGATAGCCGCCTGCATCACAGTTGTCCTTACATCAAATGGTTCCCAACAAGAACAATAAGCTTCTATTCGCGAGAGCAATACGAGATCTCCAGCGAGGAGGATTGCTCGGATTGGGGTCAGCCTCAGTCTACACCAGCTGTTCAACGTATCCCTCACCTTCAAAACTACTCACCATGAGCACCTCTCTCAATTATAAAAGGAGGGAAACTCCCCAGCTTTGGATCTCATAGGAATCATACTCCAACACATCCAGCACTCCCAGAACCAACACACTTCGAACCAAACTACCCTTTAAGCCATCCACAATGCAATTCACTACCCTCATTAACGTCGCACTTCTTGTGACCGGCAGCCTTGCCTACTCCAACAAGTATGTGGACTCCTTATGCCCTCGTCGTCGAACTTGCTAACGACCATTGCCCGTAAAGCTGCAAGGGCTCTAGCAATTCTCCCAGTATTACTGATTGCCAGGAGGCGATCCGGAGAATCGATGAAGGTTCGGACTACGGTGACGGCTCTGAATTCTCCGTCGGAAATTGCTACATGGTTTACGCTACCAACGGTGCTGGTGAACAAAAGCTCAGCGGCAAGAACATCCGTGACACAGCACAATCAATCCTGGACTCCTGTGGTCACCACAAGGGAAGCTACGGCACCAACAACTGTGACTCTTGCCACGTCACCGTCAACTACAGAGCTCCTAAGAAGTTCTAAGAAACGATTAGACGACTTTTCATGAGACCTGGCTTGTGGTCTGGAGTTACTATTCCATTAGGAGGAAGAGCTTGGTTCGGAAGGGAAAGAACAGGGGGAGGTCTGTTTTCCGAGGACATTGTCGACCCAATTTGGTTTTCATGCATGCACATAGACACCTAGTTAGTGAGGCTACGCAGATATGAACGCCATGAAGTGATTGTTTTTCAATGACTGATCCGTGTGAGAGATATAGTTCGATTAGGACCCTGAGAGCAATATGTATTCATGTGCCTTTTAGTAGGTATCAATAAGATCATGTTAAATTGCAGAATCTATGTAAAAGAAGATCCATCGTTATTTCATGGCTCTTAATGATTGAGCGTCTGCAAATGGGAGGCATTCATCGATATAGATAGGTTAACGTACCTTCTAACGGAATGGGGTGTGTCATTATATATATATCTTAGCACTTTCAGTCCTATCGTTAGCAGTCACATTTCTTAAAGTAGGAATCAATGCGAGCATAGAACTCAAATTGTAGGGAAGTGGTCAATGAATGAAACACGGGGGCGACGTTAAAATGGAGTTCCCGTTCAGACTGGCTAGTTATAGGGTATGGTATCAGTAACCTCTAGAGCTACAAGTGAACATGTGATGTCAGCTTCGGAATATTCTATATGTGTGACGGAAGTAGGCACCAGTCCAGGTAGTTCACATCAATTGGCCAGATTCCAAGGTCAACAGCATTGATGTGACGATTAGCGTTTGCCATCAACCCCTCATGACGTGGTCATCAGCTGAACAGATGGACTGAAAGCTCACAGGTGCTCAATCATATACCCATCCAAACCAAACTAACAGCTTCCAGTTTATTGCTGATGTTTCGCAGAAAAGCATGGCCGACAGAGTCGTAGTATTCCTTCACTACGAAGAACGAGGCACCCTCCTGCGCCATATGCAGGTGCCACTACTTCGTGAGCAGGTTTTAGGTTGCTCTTTCACGTCCCGAGCAACTATAGACGAAAGTTGATATGTCGGATGATAGCAAATGCAAAGGTCGTATGGTCTGATTATTCGAACATCGACCTTATTACCGGGAGGCAGACAGTGCAACGAAAGACTGAAGACACGGGAAGATCGTGTGCGTTGTTCTTCGACCACAACCACTCACGTTACTAATTTTTCTAGACGAAAAGACGTATGTCTATGCCTATATAACCAGTCCATTAATGGCAAAAGATGCTTCATTCAATGTCGTCGCTAGGCCAGGGCCTTCCGGCGGAGTGGTTGACGCGTTAATTGAATTATTGGAAATTCTCGAGAGAAAGGCATTGGCAGCCCTTGAAGCGTGTTGCGCTGAGAATCAAGCGGAATGGGTTGAGGTCAAAGACAAATAATATATGTGAATCATAGCTGCTAGTTATGGAACCTTAGTTTATGCAGCACAGCACTTCAGGATGCATAGCAGTATGTCATTTGGGCACTTCCTTGATAGAAATTTGCCAGGTTTGTAGGATATTTGACTTGTTTGCTAAGCATAATGCCACATGTCTGCATGCCAGATTAGACAATTATTAACCTGTGCAAAAATACCGCAGGGGCTCAGACATCTTTCACTAGTCTTATAAAATATTCAAATAAACAGGCCCGTATCAAATGCAATGCTTAGTTATGCCATAAAACAATTTAATGCACACATATAAGCCTAGTCAGCGCTTAGATGTTTATAAAGCTGCAAAAGGGAGGTATGATAGACAAGGGAGGTATTGATATGAAACCATGACACATTTAAATATGATAAATTGTGTTTCTTTATCACATTACTACTGCTCGAGGGGCCAGTACCGTCCAAGATGTTGTTGCCACTTGCACCTACGATCTATGAACAGAATACTCATGGAAAGCATTAAAGGCCGGTTCAGTGCCATATATAAGCCTGTCAACGCTACCACGTAGGGAAACGCTCGAAAGAAGTATTGCTACAATATTTACAATTTATACTTCACTTAGTAGAGCCGTCTCCCACAGCCCTCTATACAATATTTCATATTGGGCCTTTAGACAAACGATAACCCGATAGAAAAAATCTGATCTTTCCCCCACCTTCATGAGTTTACTTTCCAAGTCAAGAAAGACCTCCAGATTAAAATTGAATAGTGCAGTGAGTCAATCTGCAGAAAGCCAGATTCGTACCACTGTACCCACATGGATCAAAGATGACTATGAACCATTTACCATATGCGGCTATTCGTCCTCAGATCCTTGCCAATAAAGTTTGTCAATGCTTTAGCATAGCAGTCGGCTACTTTCCGATCCCCATATTGATCCCAGAATATATATTTTTAGCTGAATCCTGACCCTGACCCCTTACCAGGATCGGCAATTCCGTGTCTTACTTTTGCATTCTCATAAATCAAATTATATTAGTGCAATTAATATGTCAACGCAAGTGGGAGATAGACATATTGTATGAAAAAGAATCCGTTGGAAAATGAAGATTGAAGATCAGTTGCCCCTGAAGCTAGTCTGACCTAGGCTGCGAGCTAAATTGCTCGAAGGAGTTTTAGGGCGAAAGGAACAACTAAAATTGGCTTGTCACATGATCAACGGTCAAGTGACTCGTGGGTTGTCTTGCTTTAATACTGACCATAGTAAGGCTATTTGACATGCTAAAGGAGTTGGTCCTAAGTGTACAATGCTATCACAGAGACTCCTCATATATGCTGGAAGCCGTATAGTCAGGAATTCACTGTAAGACCAGGGCCATCCCCGAATGAACTTGGCAAAGCTATATGTAAGAGATGAATAGAGAGGAGGAAAGACAAGAGAAAAAAAGGCAAAGAAAGGCAACGGAATGCAAATCCCAAAAGGTGCCTAACCAGTTTTACCAATAATTCAAGTACGGCGCAGAGAAATGAAGCCAATGTGGAAGCCCACCGTTGAGGATCCCAGAGCGGGTCCTGGAATACCATTCTTCTCCACTACCATCGTGGCTGGTATGGCAGCAGTTGTCCTGTGGTTCGGCAAGTTAGCGTGGAACCCCGAACCAGGGTTGACGCACAGAATTCCAACGACATACAGGACGCTCAGGCCAGACAGTGGACTCTTAGCTACCTGGAGCCGATAATGAAGAAGAAGTCCGCCCAGATTTCTAGCATTCTGGGGAGCCATCACAAAGCATTGGCCTATGATGATGGTCACGGAGAACGCCAGGGCGTCTAAACTACAGCTCCCTTGTGCTTCCTACAACGACATTAAATTGAACACTAGTGTTGGCGACTATCCCAATATTAGGGCAGACTATCATGATGAGGCATCTTATTTCATGTACTAGTTGTCTAAGGTGGAAGTTGCGGTTCCGTATTTAGCGTGGAAAGGATATAGTGCAGCCTTAGTACACGCATCACCTTAGACAGTAGCTCCTCAGCCATGATAAGCGAAATCATAAACTACACTAGGTGCAGTGTAAAACAGGGTCAAGGACAGACCCTCCGAAACACAAGAATCAGCACTTGGTCGTGGGCGATCAAACCGTGTTTTACCCTGGCCTGTGCTCGTCTGCACTACCGTTTCCATCTCGTTGGGAACTCAGTTTGATCCTCCATAACTCTAATCTGAGACTGAAAAGTTGGCATAGTGAGACTAAGTGATCCTTCAGGAACCGAAATTTGTGTCAAGTGGAATAAGCTGGTATTTTATCCTATCGTTTTGGTGCAAATCCGACCCACCCGAAAGTTTCCAAGCATAAACGTCTTAGGGTTCGGGATCGCAGCCAATAGGAGTCACGGACTTGTTAAGCTTCGGCGCCATCGGCAGATCATTTTCACCCCGGCGAACAGAATGTCCAAGCTTGCTTGAATTCCAAAAGTTTTGCTCGACATGGATCCTCGAACTTCGTCGTATCCTTTCCCCTGAGGGTATCCTTTGCGGTTGAGAAGCTGAATTGTCAACTTACTTTACCAAATCCACGTTCCCGACGGGATCCCGACTCGGCCATACATTAGCACACCGGTCTAGAACGTGCGTTATAGGGAGGATTGGAGACTAATTTACTTAGCTTACAGCATCATATGATAAAGATCTTCGCTTAATTTAACTAGCAGATTGATCGCCTCGCTTTTTAAAACTAGTCTCAGACATAGATGAGGCATGGGGAAAAAAGTTTTAATTTCCGCCGTTCTTCTCCTATCTAAATGAGGAAACTACAGAGCGAGCCATGTCTCTGACCGATCGGCCATCGCCAATGTCGCTAGTCGGGCGAAGGAAAGTTTGCAACCTCCAACGTTTCTCCGATGTCTCTCAAAAGTGGATCTTTCTCCACCAAGTTAGGGTTGATGTGTACACTGCATATAGTTGGGGATCATGACGTCGCTGACTGTACAAAACAGCTAAGATTGACAAAAGTACGCCATATATTTAACTGTAACAACGGTCTGGAGATGCCGGCCACGCGACGTAGGCATGTCACATCCTCCAACACCTCACTCTTCTTCACCCCTCTTGTGGTCCCTTTATCTCTTTAATTTCTCTCCACTTCATGTGGCGGGCGTGAACTTTTCTTCTGGCATTGACCACGATGCCCGGAGGTATACGACCACCACCTGAAGTAATGGCATCGTGGCCGAAGCCGAATATGACCGACCCTGAATCGCATGGGCTGTCGAGTATTGTCCTCGCGTCAGTGTTTGGTGGCATTGCGCTGACTACGGTTGGGGTACGACTTTGGGCGAGGTGTGTTATTCAGCGTCGAGGCGGTTGGGATGACCTCTGTGCTGGACTGGCTGTGGTATGTTGCGTTTATTGCGTACACTATCATCGTTAAAGAGCTGACATCTTAGATCCCTGTTCTCGGGTTAGCGATCGCGTTTGTCCTGAGTACGCCCTTCTACATTATAACCTCGCACAAAGATCAGAAACTGACGATACCAGGCTCGGATGTCTACGGCGCAAACCTCCACACATGGGACAATACACTCCCCAAACTTATCGCGCAACGGCAGGTGGCACTCGCAATGGAGATGCTTTATGTGCTCGGCTCTGGATTGGTGCGAATTTCCGTCCTCCTGTTCTACCGACGAATGGGCTTCCGATCGATATCGCGGGGTTTCATACTCGCCACGTGGATCAGTATATTCTCCGTCGTCGGATACAGTGTTGCCTTCCTTGCGGTGATATTCGGGTCCTGTCAACCACTCCACGCCTACTGGGATCAAATTAACCCGGTATGGGCAGCATCGCATACGTGGAAATGCTATAACGAAGCGGTACATATTATAGTCGCAACAGGTGTCGCACTCATCCAAGATGCGGTTGTGACTACACTTCCCGCGATCTTGTGTTGGAACCTGCGGATTTCGTTCCGTGAGAAGATCGCTCTAGGTTCCATTTTCGTTGTGGGATACTTGACTCCCGTTATCGCGGGAATAAGACTCTACTTCATTGTCCGACTATACTATGTCTCCTACGATGCATCCTGGACTAGTTGGTATTGCTGGATGCTGGCGATGATGGAACTGCTTATTGCCATTACATGTTCGAGTTTACCCGCAGCTCGTGTCTTTTTTAACCAGTATAAGCCTTATGTGGATTTTGTCGGCACTGCACGAGGGATTAAGTCGGTTTTCAGCAGAAGCACATCTCGAAAGTCCATCTCTGCTCAACGGTCGAGGCGAGCCTCGTCGAGTACAGTCAAGCTGACTGAGCCGGCCCATTCTAAAAGCTCTACAACCTTTACAGATGAAGGGCCGGAAATAGAGCTTGATAGGATGCAGAAGATGCCTGTATAATAATGCTCTATACATATGCTGTACTATCAGTAACACTCCTAATAGTTTCAATGAGAGCATTCACTGGTTCGAATGATATTCGTTTGCATAGTCTAGCCGAGAATCTAATATGGGAAGGTTTTATGCTTCTTGGTAAACGGAAGCAAGGGCGAAGGAAACCAACACAAGAAAGAATAATAAAAAGAAAGGAAGAAAGGAATGCCAGAAGGCACAACATAGAAATTACATCAACAAAAGCAACTCGTTTCGGTAGGTCCAAATCGTTTCCAGCTATTTTTAACTTAGTACTAGTAGTAGGCTCCGACCAATAAAGGGAAAAGTCGTGCCTGATTTCATTCTAAGCTATTCGATTGCTAGACACGCATGAGAGACTAGTAGTTTAAAATCGCAAGACAAGCTGCCTTACCCACCAGGGCGCTTATATCGAGAGATTAAACCACTGTTGGCGACTTGGACTGAAGTACTATTCAAGCTCCTCAACATTTCACCGTTGGACCTAGGTCAATTTATCGCTTAGAGATTATGTGTATATGTTTAACTTAAGGCAGGTATTTGGCGGGATTGTTGTATCCCCCCATAAACAAGATCTCTTGAAGCTTTAGCGATCCTAATATATTCCGGGATTTCCCTGTAGATAGTATATTACTCTCGTAGTTATCATCGATCAGTGCAGGATCTGTTAGTATAATATTATCACTGCCGCCGCCGACTACAACTTGCTAAAAGAAAATACGACAGATATACGACATAGATTACCGCCTAATATAAGGCTTTTTACCCATATTATAAAGCCAGTTCCTCTATTATATCAAGGGCTATTAATACAATTATCGTCTTTGCATAATTAAACTTTCGATGTAGGAAAGGTTGGCTTTTGTGAAAATAAGATTATGATGGAAGTAATCGAAACAAGAAAGGGAGAACATAGGAAAAGTGAAAAGAGGGTGAAAGTATACTACTAGTAATAATGTAGACAGAAATACAGTGCTCACCATGGGCTAATAGACGAGAGGACGGGTGGATTGGTGCATATCGCCGTAGGCGTTGCATTCGAACAAGGTTTCGTGCTACCGGTTCCCGAAGCCTTTGTATATAGCCTCCTCGATATGCGTCCATAACAGGTAGTTCAAGCCTACTGAATCTGGGAAATCGCACTGCTTGATTGGACCACTAACAATTTATGAATGTGTATGTGCGCTTCAATAGGTAATGCTCTTCGTCCTCAACCTGTAAGTTCTGGAATCATACCCAGAGCTCTTGCCACGAGGACACTCCATTGATAAGGCATCTCGTGTCCACCTGGATCGGAGTTGAAATATTCCCAACCAGCCACGCCTCCGAGATAGGGATATCGGAGTCGCAGCTCAATCAGCACTGGTCGAAGCTTCTCGAATTCTATGAAGCCAGTGGTTCCGTTGTTTCTGTGGGTTAAGAGTGTTGGCAGGACACGAGACGGAGGGAATCCCATCGCCATGATCGCGTCATAGTCTTTGGTTGTTGCGAGGCTCCCCCAGCCGTTGTAGAACTGCGTGTTGTAGAAATTTATCTTATCGCCACGTTCACCCTCGAAACGCAGATAGTCAAACCCAGACAGGTGGGCCCTACCCTGCAAAGCCGTAGCAACAGGAGCAAGGGTGATGATGAAGTCTGGGCCGAAGTCCGCTCGGAGGCGATCAACGAGGCGATTAATACCATTTTGAGACATTGGTTCTTCAATGTCGAGGTCGATCCCATCGAACTTGTACTTGACAAGCATGTAGTACAAGGTCTTGTAACACTCCTGGAAACTCTCATCGTCGTCTAGCACGATGAAGCTGCCAGGACATGCTCCTCCAAGCATCGCCATCACCTTGAGTCCCCTTTGTTGTAGGGTCTGCTTGTCCTGCCACAACTCCGTGAAGCTTCCGTGGTCGGGGGTGAAGTCGTTAAGATGTAAATATCCGTTTCGGCCTAGGTGAAAGCAACCAATGATGAGGTGCGTTACCGTTTCCATTTGGAGCCAGCTCTCAACAAGGTACGCAACAGCCAGATCCTTTAATGGAACTGTCATAGTTTGATAGTAAATGACTACTTTCCGAGTGATTTGCCGCGGCTGTAGGTTGGAAATCATGCTGATAACTCCATCCAATTCGGAGGGTAACTGAGGGTAAGCGATATCATGATCAGGCATGTTGTGAGAGATGAGTGAGTCTGGAAGGTAATCGGTGAGCTTTTTCTGGATAATGCTGGAATATATTGGCGAACCGTTCATAGGGGGATACATAGGACTTAAGAGGATGCCTGAATATGCTTAAACCAGAGACGAGTACTTGTCTGGTCTGGTCTTGGAAGGTGCGATTGAGTAGAGGTTCAACCACACAGGACGAACTGGAATCCACTAGTAGGTTCAAACTAGCCTTTGACGATTAGAGTCTACCAAAGTAGATGTAGACCATGGTGAGCTCAACCATGCAGAGCGGTTTCAGTAATTTGGTAGGTTGAAACTAGCCGTCCAGGATTCATCTCAAACCTATGGCAAATATAATAGTCTTTTATTGACACAGCGGTTCAACTGTGGAGGTTTATTGCCAGCACTACACTATCACACACTCTCTGCTCTACCAATATTCCACCGAGGGTATTTCCATGACATTTTCCAATGATTATCACTATCAAAGGGAGAAGGGCATTCCCAGCCCCCCAGATGTAGAAACAAAAACCCCGTGACGCAACCCCTTTTGGCAAAGCTCTCAGACCGCGTTCTATAACATCAGCATGCATCTTCACCCTCCCTGCATTATTATATCATAATGCAGTTTCCTCAACTACATTACCTCTGGCCAGGACCATAGTGTTTCCAAATATTGCATTGTGGCGGCCCCGCCAGAAGGCCTAGATGTCGAGTCCCCAATGTGGTGATCATTTCCCCAATGTTTTACGCCAATCGCATCCCCCAATTGCCGGGCAATTCGAGGATAATTGAGACTACGATCTGAGAAATCTAGAGTTTAATGGTCAATTGTTTTTAAATCCGAATTGTACTCAATGTTGATGGCATATCATTTGTCGGGAAGCAACTACACTTATATACTGGGCTCGTTACGGACGTCTAGCTCACATAGTACAACGAGATTTACAATGCCCACACCCCACGTTCCAGCAACAGCTCTCAGTTGGTACAATGTATACGAGAAAAGTTCACCATCTTGAAGCCCGACACAAAGGTCCATACACCTTATCCTCCACCGGAACCTCCTTCCACTCTTCACTCCCAACGCACGTAGGGCAGTAGAACACATGATCCGGGTCGTATTCGTCCTTGATGGCCCTAAGCCGTGGATAATTGTCACCGAAAAAGTCAGTCTGCCACCAGGGGTTATGCCTGTCTCCATCATTGAGGTAACTGCCCATATCCGGGGCTAACGCTCTCATTGCATCGGCCTTTCTAAATGTGGTGTCGTGCTGCATCTTCTGGAGGGACCTGTCGTCTGCATCTTCGGGCAATATGGACGTTGGGACAGCAAGAAGATACGCTTTCCGCCACGCGGGGTGGACTCCAACATAGCGATGAGTGGAAGGGTCGGTTGGGCTATCAAGGACCTTTCCTCCGCCGACGAGGAAAAGCATAGTCCATATGGTTGCCTTTTCCGGAACATCAGGGGCATTTGTTGAGGTGATGCGTAGCATCTCTTTGAGCTGTGCTGGGTCACCCGTGAGAGAGGCCTTATCAAGAAGGCGTGATGTGAGCGTCATCTTACTAAATCCGACATGTTGCTGAGCTCTCGTCGCTGCGGTGTAATAGTCCCCGAATGACGAATAACGCTCCCAGCTCTCGGAGATCATGAGTCCAGAGCCATTATATTTCCGTAACCGTTGCATAAGAGTGGCAGATACGAATCTTTGTGCTTCTTCCAATCCGTCCTCGCTGTCGTCCAGCTTCGCGAAGGCATGAGCGTACCCTCCATTTTCCATGACTGGTACTGGTGCTCCGGCGATAGGAGAATCCACTTTATCAACGCCCCATCCTCCATACCCTGAAAAGCCGCCGTCAGATAAGGCGGGATACGCGGAAAGGATTTCCGCGACCGCGTCAATGAGTGCCATAGTTGCAGCTAATGGATCTTTGCGGTTGGGTAATGGATACACAAGGAGAGTATGCGTAATGGCAGGACGGGATGGATGCGCCTTCAGAGTAGCTGAAACTACTGCTCCGTATGTTCCGCCACCACCCCCACGCAGAGCGAAGAATAAATCTCTGTTCTCACAGGCATTCGCTGTTACCAGCTCACCAGATGCCAGGATAACCTTTAGCTCCAGGACTTGGTCGACAGCAAGACCGAAGTCACGACTGGCGGGGGAGTGCCCTCCACCCTGTAGGTAACCGCCGAGGACGCCGACCGTCTTTCAATAGCACGTTAGCTATCGTATCCTTCACTGAGATATGAGCACCACTTACTGGATCCTGACCACCGACGACTATCAAATCTCGCTCGAAAGCAGCAGCATAGAGGTCACCCCAGAGGTAGCCTCCTCGGACAGTGAAGGCGCTTCCTGTCCAGTTGGTGTTTCCGCATTGGCTGGGGGACTGGTATTCTTCATGATAGTCAATACCCTCTTGAATGTACTTTAGCCATATCTGTAAGCTGCCGTATCCTTGGGATCTGTGTGCTGGAGTGTCAGCAGTTGGCCCTTTGTATTGAAAATCATCACTAAGAGACAGACCTTGCAAGGAGGTCGTGACCGGTATTCTTTATTACGAGCCTTAGGTTATGCGTCTTTGCAAATTGGATTCCTTCCGCTACATCTTCTGGTTCTGTGGCATTGATGGTATACACTGGCGCTGGACCAAGGTCACATCCACCGTGTGGTGTTCCTGTCGGTGCTGAAAGGACTGGACAGGCGTAGTCAAGAGGATAACAATATCCGGTCGGCTGAAGAGATTGGAAGGTGGAATTCGACCATTGGTCGACGATAGTTTCACACAGCTTCTGGTCGTCATCCTCTCCGTAGTAACAGGGTTCGGCAACGGGTGTGTTTTGGATCAGCTTTCCCGAAACGGCATCGTTCAACTCGGCCCAATCGGTTAACGTAGGCCAGCAGTCTTCATTCGGTACCTATCAAAAGCAAACAAATTAGCAAAACCCACTCAGGAGGAATCGGAAGCGAACTCACGCATTTACATTGTTCACGAGCAGTACTCTGCCCAACAAGAGCCAGAAGCCCCAGGGCTACTATATACGTACCCAACGCCATTGGTGAAAGACAATGTTAACATCTTTCTTACCAGCGATCGAGGAATGGCTTCCCTAGAAATACAACCTCCCACTCACAGCGGTCAAGGATGGCGGTATCACGGGGCCTCGTCATCGTAAGCCTCATATCCATAAGCACAATGAAAATAACCAGCTAGTGCAGCATACTACGCCAGGGGGTCTGTCGGGGCTCATTTATGTGTTCGTGGTGCTGCAGCTGCGGGCGCCGTTGGGATCGACCGATTGGCAGATCGTCGAGCGGGCAGGAGATCCAATATGCAAGATAGCCGCGCTAAAAGGCAATAAATGCAGCTGCACGATTTGAGTATCCCCGATGGATCAGCTGAGGATCACCGGATACACGTGTGACTGGTGGATTCATGTGCCGTGACCAAGAAATTATCATTAAATCTCGTCGGCGGTTTTCTTGGCAATGTTTATGAATATTTTCGGTGAGCGGTGCGGGTTCTCCTTGTTTACGAATGTCCGCTGGCTCTAGTATGGTTTTTTCCCAGGAGAAAATGTCGGTCGCAATCGTATACTCTTTATACGATGCATCTGAATCCACATTTAACTAGGATATGAGGCAGAAATGGTGGTGTACGGGGACAGTGTTGATTCTTCGGTGTTGTATCAGGCCGATGTGACGGGCCGAGAACTCCACCATGCCGGGCTTATGGTCTAATGGGTGTACTATCGCATACTTCCACTTTGAAATTGAATCGTAGAATAGAACAGAATGTAACAAATCTCATTTCTTTATATGTCATCACAGACCTCAAAGCAGCAAAAGGATGAACATCATGCCTTTGTTGTAATGATGCCAAAATGATCATCCACTCAAAGCATTGTTATGCTTCACTAAGGTAGACGTACTACAAAGCAAGAGCGCACATAACCATAGCCTCATTCGTCGTCGTCCTTAAACCAATTCTCGACTATGTCATCGACATCATAACGACTAAGACCCATCTCCTGCCTCCGGGCATCGATGAGCTCATATCGCTCCCGTACCATCTCGAGAATCTCCTGTCTCAATTCTGCACGGTACTCCGCAGGTCCGGACTTGGCACCCCATAGCCTGGACTCGTACTCTTCTATCTCTCTCAACATGATCTTATCGTTCATAGCAAAGTCGTACCCATAGCACACGGGGCAAGATTGATCCACAGCGCACCCACCAAAGAGGTCCGGAAACTGCATGGCAGGACCACAGCCGGGACAGTACCAACCATCCATGTAGCAAAACGGGCAATAGCCACCCCAGTAATACCGCAGAACATCTCTGTGCGGAGACAGTCAGGATACTACCATTTTTTTTTAGGGGAAGGAACATAGCATAGAACATGTTAGCATACCGTCCATGGGGGTTCACGCGGTATTCAACCTCAGATTCAACAGGGAAGTGAGCCACATACGCACTGAGGGGGCAGCTTGAAATATCACAGCCTCCTTCACTGGAAGTGTCATCTCCCGATGTATCCTCGTCTTCCTCCTCGTTATAATAAACGTCTGGACCGGATACTATGCAGCATCCTGGTTTGAGTCGATAGTGCACCTTCACTTCTCGCACAGTGATGGATGATGTTTTGGGATTCGAGATCTGGCTGTCAAGGGATGATTCAACAAGAAGCATGCAGGCTGTATGCCCGGGGGCATAAAGAAGGATAAGATCGCCTGCAGACACCGCTTCGTTCAACGTTTCCATCTTGCTGGTGGGGTTTGATTTTATCGTGAGAAGCTTAATGTTGGTGGGGTCTGGTTAGGGATGCAAAGGGGGCTCGGTTCTATTAGTGGGGTTGTCAGTTGACAAAAGAAATATTTGTCGTGGGGTAAACATGATGTATACTTTGGAATCTGCTTTGTCGTCATATTCACTAGGCAACAGCCCAGCGACTTGGTGGCCTCAGTTTGTCATTAGCTAAAATAGAAGGGCATGGTCTTTCATATCTGCTTGGACTGACACCCTACGTCATCTTCCTGTACATTTGTCGTAAGCTACTCCTCTTACCAAATGACCCCAATCTCAGCTTGCACGTACACAGTTCTTTAGACACGGTCCGCATCGGAGGGGATTGAACATCTATACTGCCAAATGATAGGCATGTGTAATCCAATCGACAGTCCAGAGGGTTCAACAGGTCAATCATTAGCTTGCAGTGACATTGTAAAAGGGCCCGTCCAGGTATTGCTAAAATTAAGTAGAAGAAACCAGTGATCCAGGGCATTTGTGCCTTGTGAATGCATCACCAAGATAAATAGTTAAAGAGGTAGAAGTGGAAGCATTACAAGGAGGAGGGGTAGGCCTCAAAAGGGCGAAGCGCTCATTGTTCAGTAAACGAGAGCTTCAAAATATTCAAGCCATTGGTGCCTCTTTATGCCTATCTGGGGCTGTCGTACACGAGATATTGGGCTCTAGTGTGTCGGCCAGGTACAATTTTAAATACCGGTGGAGGATTGAAAAACCCTCGTTTCCCATCTTAGAGACCGTACACAGATTGGAGCATGATCATATATGCTGAGGTTCCGAGCACTGGTGTAGTTCTGTATCTCTCGGTTTCTTTAGCTAGGGGCTTGTCTACAAGATGTCTCACATATGTTATCAATCGGCATATGTACAAGATGCGTATCAAGTCAAGGCTCAACGAACGATCTCATGCGCAAAAATATAATAATAACCAGATATATGGATCTCATGATCAACTGACCACAACCAGTCACTGAAGCTATAGACGGGGAAAGAGCACCATGAGCTGGTTAAATTACAAATGAACCGACCCTGAAATCATAACTCAAGAAACAGCTAAATTAGTGAGCGTTTGACGGTCTTGTAGCTCCATTAGCATCCTTAACCCGCGGGCGTTTATAATTCCAAGGAATTATAGAAAGGTGCTACAATTCCGAGCATCCTGCTCAGCTTGTTCTTCCAAACACTGAACATCATTTCTTCGCATGGGAGAACATAATCCTAGGAAATATAGTCTTTTCCGTTCACCTCTGGAGGTGCAGGATAAAGGGAATGTATCTCATTGAAATACTCGGAGGAAGCTTCATTAGATTTAATACAGAAATTATTAGATTACATATCATGGTCGACACTAAAGGCTCGCCGCGAATATACATACGCCATAAAATGTCCAACGCATAACCATAAATATCGAGTCGTGAAGGTAGACAACTCGCTTGGGTCCCAGGCTCACCTAGCTGTAAGGAAAACCTCAGATCACGCCCCAGAGATTTCCCCATCCAGGCTTCTGCGGAGTAGTATCTCTGGCCGTCGCACGGTCCTTAAGCTCGTCCAACTTTCGGATCTTCTCCTTCACCTCAATGACGTTAGACAGGTCTTCGAGCTCCCATCTAATATTCCGCCAGCCGCCGGAGCGATAAGCTTTGATGATAAGCCATAAGGGCAGGAAACATAAGGGCTGTATGATGTTTTGTTAGCATTCATTTCTTTATGGAGATGTACTGAAATAACATGTTGTGCATGTACATACCGCTAAATAGGCTGATAGGAATAGGGACGCATGGAAGCCATTCCACAACGCTGCCCCGTTAGCAACAATGAGAGTAAACAGACAGCCACCTAAGGCGAGATACATTGTTACCGGTTGGCCGTGGGAGCGCCATGGATAATAGTCTGGGGCACCGGGACGACGGAAACGGCAGACATGTGCGAATTCGGGGGAATTATGGAGCTCGACTTGATGCACCTTCATGCTATACATTGTCAGTACTGAATGGTACTTACACAGGGAAGAGATATAGTAATTGAAAGAGATTAAGCATGGTGGGGAGATAGCCAAAGGGAAGCTCACCAATTATAGAAGCGAATAAAAGCCCAACATTCACAAGCCCAGACAATCAGGCAGCTTACAGACCCCAGTTGCGATAACACTTCAAGAAGCTGGTAGTCATGTTAGCACATATTCCTCGCCGAAGACCCATATTTTCGGCCACGGTTAGCTTACACTAGCGATAGTGGTACCCTTCGCATTATTCGGCGACAGATATAAGAAGGGCACCCATAGGAAGCAGCACGAGAGAAACATGGCCCTCACTGGAACTTGGTAGCTGTTTGTCTTGCCGAAGAATGCCAGCCACCGCCACTGCTTTCCGTATATCTTTCGTGTCAAACCAAAGAGTGTGCGGGACGCCACATATAGATTAGTATTGGCGCAGGTAAGGGCAGTGAACAGTAGAATGACATTAAAGAGGTCCGCTAGCCCGTTAATTCCAGATTTCTTCGCGCTAATAACAAAGCCCGAATCACTTGGCCTGTCAGTTTTTGGACCAGGGTGGCCCAGCCATCCAGCCTCGGGTAATTGATCATTGTCCCAAGGTAAGTTCAGGGTCATCACAAACCCCGCGACGAAGTAAGCGATCCACGCAATGAAGCTCGTCCAGGTCGCGGAGAAGCGAATGGAGATGAATGGCCACGGTTGTTTCAATTCTTCATTCAGAGGGTCCTCTGCCGAAATTCGCTTTTTGTCGGGACGTGCCTCGAGCGCTGTGGCGGCTGTAATGTCGACACCTATAAAGGAGAATGCGGCAATAGAAAGGGAGATGCTGTACATTGTTATTAATCCCTAGTCATCATGTCTTCAGGTAGAGCAGCAACATACAACAACGCGGTAACCCAGTTTCCCGCTGCTCTATCATCGTACTGAAATATAGATGAGTCGCGGTAGTCTAAAAGCGAGTGAGAACTTGAAACGAGAAGGTGCGGTCGGAATATCTTACATCTAGTGCCAATGTGCCCTTCGCTTCCACCTGTATGCTGTCAGAAATAGGGTATCGCCGGAACACATGCTCTTACCTCCAACGTTGATCACGATCATTGCCACAGTAACAACAATCGCCCCAAGGATCTTTACCGAGCCCCCGATTACCTCTGTAAAACCATAAATCTAAGCCCAACGGTTATTAATATTTAGTGGGTAGGGGGGTCCGAAGCATACCTGTACGCCGAAGCTATTAAGCAGAACTAGAAACAACGGCACTATGAACAGGATCACAGTGCCCTGTATTGCCTTGCTTGTATTCCAAAATTCAACCTCACCCGCAGCAGCCACAATCATAGCAGCAAAGTTCAGACAGTAAGATATCCTATAGAACGTCCGTTAGCAAATACATTTTGCGAAACAGCCTTACTCCGCCCGGTCAACCAGACCCACCAATATGCGATACCGACTGTAGTGCCCAGGTCTTCATCAACAAATGTCCCGACGAACTCCACGAGCGCTCCAGCGACAGGCCATATCGCGAGAAACTCTCCAATACACTGCATGACCAACCAGGCTAGCAGGCCCATGGCTGAGAACGAGATCAAGACAGCTGCCGGCCCACCGATTCGCAATATTGATCCACTTCGAAGATAAAGCCCAACGCCGAGGACACCACTAATGGTGATCATCTAGATGAAAACATAATCCGTCAGTAAGGTTATTTCACGTTGTAGCCAATTACTCACAAACACATGGATTCCACGCAATCGTCGACTAGAACGTGGCAGCAAGGTCAGCCAATAATTGTCTATACATGCACATCAACCCCGTATTTCGGTCACCCCTTACTTCACAGTCCGATCCTTCTCATCAAGGAATACCTGATCGGACCCTGCGCCATCGCGTGGATCCACAACTACTGTTACACTTTCCGGTTGTCTGAATGAGATTGAGCTTAGTGAAGGTTGTAGGTGCGTTTCTGATCGTCGTGGCTCCGATGTCCCTGGTGATGTGCCGAGTGAAGGTACGGTAAGCATTTGCGGAAGCCAATCAATTTGACTCATATCCAGCCCATCGTGATCTGCACTGCCGTGAGGAGGCATGTTGTCGCAAGCTCAGCCTTTCGTCGCAAGTGGCATGATGAGGATAGGAGAATAAAGTGGCTAAATCGTGAAATAGAGAGCGACAAAAGCCACAGCGACTACAGGGTGAACTTGAGGGATCATGCACGAGGGTTGGTGCTGCCAGCATTATAGTGCGACGCTACGGAGAGTCAAATACGAGGCCATGAGGGGAACCCTTGGGCACGAGGCTGAGAAGCAAAATTTTGTGGGGGTGCTGATAAGCCTCGGAAAGATTGGTTGGACTAGAGAACCGTGCAAAACGATACAACTGTCAAGTGTCAAAAGGCCACCAACCACAACACTGCTTGACTGGCAAACATCCTCCTATCCCGATCAGAACCGAGATGACGTTTTGACCACAACAAACCAAAATCATTCTTTGAAATCATTACCCTATGTAGCACTTAGCAGAGCCCCAAGGCTGTCACCCAGCATTAAATCTGCCCTTAGCCTCGTATACCACACGGGATGTTGTGAACCCAGCCAAATTATCGCAATTCTGACTTCTTCGTCACATCCCACTCTAAACACGCTTAAACATCCTGCGAACGTATCACTATCCTTGGTCGATCGTACTTCCAACAATAGTAGACCGATGATGTTCAAGAGACTCTCCTGGACACCTACTTTCCCTCAAGCGAGTACATCGAATCCCTCGCCTCCACCAGAGACACGGCGACAAGACGCGGCGAGCAATTATCTACGGCGAGAAAAACTCCAAGCCCTGCTAGAGCGACTGTTCCCTGATCATCCAGGGCTGAACTTCCACATTCGAGTAAGGAATTTCCAGGGGTTCAAAGGGATATATCTGGTAACCTTAAGTTTGGTAAAGCTCGATGACGAAATCTGGTCGTTTGATGCACCACGAGAGGTGACCCGTGTAAGTTCCAGTTCCACTTTCTTTGAACCTTTTCCGTTGGGTCTGTGGCTGACAACAAAAACAGCAGGAACTCAGGTAGGCGTTCTCCGATCTGCGAAATGAGCCTGAGGCTGTGCTACGTATCTGACTGATTACACGTTACCTGTTTTAGAGAAGCGTCTGATTGACAATGCTCACTCTGAGTGGTCAGGCTGATGTGACAATGGCTGGTGGGAGTAAGACTTCTGGAAGAAAGCGCTTGGCCTTCTTTGAGAAAGGATTGGCGGCGCAGGGCGCTTGGCCATCGTGTTGCTGAATTTTATTTTTATCACCTGGGTTATTTCGTGACAATGTGTAGCATAATATAAACAACCGTACTCTAGGCCTTTCTAGCCTGAAAGAGTCAAGTGAATATTATTTCAGTTTTGTTGGTACTATTATATCGTCATATCTAATTGTTTAGACCTCACGATGATTGCATATACCCAAGATATCCAAAGTTCTCTACCCCACCTCTACGACCCTTTCAGTTTGATGCCCTACGAGGATGATCTTTGGCAAGTAGCAAGCTCTCGCAAATGTTTTCAGGAAGATGAATCGAAAGTCCAAGTCGACTGGACGGATAGCGATTCAGAACACCGCGGTTTGTGTACCTAGGCTACCCTGCGAATTGATGTTTAGACTGACTCTCATTGAGCAGTAACAAGAAGCACATTCACATCATTGGCCGAATTACAAGCGCATAAAAAGGAAGCTTCTACAGAGCCGAATGGACTACGCTTTATGTAGGTCATCCAACATACAAGGAACGTTAAGTCACAGGATTTCTAATGGGGTCGTAGATCTATCAATCAAGGGAACTCATGGAGACCCTTGAATGTTACCAAGGAGATGTTCGAAGAAGTTGGAAAATTAACTAGCTCTTCACATGTGCTGCATAATCTATCGCTTTCTTTCCACGACAGGTTTATGGCTACCGAAGCGGCCTTTAGCAGTGCACCCACGTTTATTTGGAACGAGCAAAGTATAGGTGAGTCCACCGCGACTACTATAAGATCCTACTCCAGTATCACAGCTATTAATACCCATATAATAGAGGTCGCGTATATATTTAAGTACGCCTTTCAAAAGAGCAACAACGACAAACCCGATTCCTGGACTGTGCGACAAACGGGTGTCTATCAAAAATATGACACTGCGATGAACCATTCGACGTGGATATTCTTGATTCCAACCAAAGACTGCCTCTTCCAGCAGCGGCTGATGGAGATCCTTATGTCTCCGCTGCAGTGCTCGCAGTTAATGTCACATCCACTGCTAATTCATAATCTTCTCTTTGCTACATTTTTCCCGACCTGGAGGGAATATATAGGCTCACATGAGGCCACGGTTTTGACGGTCGTATGTCAAGAATGATGCGAATGACCACCTATCAAGCTAACCAACTCGCTTAGTCCAACACGACTGTGACAGAACGAATCCAAGACCCCCTCAGGGTCAACCATCATATGCTGACCTCCATTCGCTCCGTGGAATCCCGGTGTCTCCCGCTGCAGGCTCTCTTTCGCTCCTTTGACAAGACATTACAGATCTTGCATAAAGCCAACAATGCATTAAGGGATTGCGGTAGTGTGCAGCATCTACTCTGGCACAAAATGGATCAGCTCCTTGATAATTATGAAAGCCATGCCGACGCCTACTTGCAAGCCGCATCATTCCTTCAGAGTCGGGCAGCAACCACGGCCCAGCTCATTGCAGACACCTTCTCGTTCAAGAATTCTCATACGGCACAGGAGCAATCCGACTATATGTTGGACCTCACTTCATCCACAGTTGACGATTCATCAACAGTCCGCGTTATCACTGTTGTGACACTCATTTATCTACCATCCACTTTCATGGCAGTATGCTTGCCCCTGCGACAAACCACTCGTTTCTGCAATACAGTTGTATCGCTGACACAGTTCCTTGCATCACAGACACTCCTCGGAATGAACTCATTCTTTGAGATGGACCCTGAAACCCACAAGCTCATTGTGTCTCCGCAGTTTTGGATATTCATCGTGTGCGCCGTGCCACTGACGGCCGTGACAGTGCTATATTGGTGGGTGCGGAGCAAACGTCACCCGAAGCATGCGAAGGGGAAGGTTGAATTGCTAGCATAGGGTGTTATCCAGTCTCTAGATTAGATATGGTTGGCGTGCATTTGATTAGAAACACAAGCGTGGCGTTATTTCATCGTTGGAAACGATACATCGTTTAGCATATAGAAGTACAATGCTGTATATGAGAACCGATCTCATGTTCCGTCTGGAAGCTTTACTGCAAGGAATTCGCCCCTCGAAGTAGCCACTACCAACACAATCTGTCCTCTTGTTGTGCGTGTCAGTACAGCGCTATCTAGCGCCGGTCGATACTGATTCAGGTTGCTGAGCGCTACTTTCGCTGGTTCGGGGTTGCCCAAGATGGGAATTGGCAAGATATAGGTGCGAAGCCGTCGATCGCTCCCATTATCACCTAGTATGATTAAGGTCTCGTCGTCATCACGTACAAACATGTTGACCGCCTGGTTAGGTAGTGTATGAACCTGACGATCCCAACGCCAAGAGCTGAGGTGGAGGAGGTATTTGCGTTGGCAAAGTATAAATAACCGTGGTTCGCGGTTGAAGACAGAACATGAAGTGTAGAGAGGTTCATCTACAGAAGCTGGCCCCTGTGTATGTGGAATTTTGACAGTTAGCCTCATAGGGCTTACATTAAAAGTGGAGGATGACAAACGTAGGCATACCTGAAACCCTATTTTCAGATTTCCGCAGCAGATACCGCTGTATGTGTCCCATGCGCGAACCAACAGATGTACAGGATCCACCTGAGAAACCATGATAATGTAGTGATTATCATTGGAGAAACTTAATGAGCGGATTTGCGTCGCTGGGCCGACCATGGAGTCCTGCGATATGATATTTCCACCACTAGTCATGCTATCAGAGTCTTGGTAGGATGCCGCTGAGTTCGATCGGCTTGATGGAGCCGAGCTATTTCTGCTTTGGATTAGTCTACGGCTTTTTCTTCAACTAGCTGTTGGCCTTACCCTTCGCTTGCATTGTTCAAGAGATCTTGCGTGGTTGAAAGGTATAAGAGAGCATCTGAATCAGAGCCTCCGGGGGTTCGTACGATGACGAATGCTGTCAGAAGCCCATCAGCGGACATGGCAACCTTCTTGATAGAGCCCATGTGCGGATAGTAAACTCTTGAACCCTGCAAAATGCTATTTCCTTGCGACTCGGATGAGGTGGTGGTTTCGTAAAAGACGCACTAAGCAGTTAGCTGTCGCGACCCCACACTGTTGGTATTGAGAAATGATGAAGTACCTCGAAGCATGCCCTAGCGAGGCAGGCACAGATAAACCCCGAGCTACTTGCAACGCATTCTAATGATGCCCTAGGAATATTTATCACACGCGGCTTCGGGAGCTGCTCTACAGCGGACAAGATTTCGTCGAGGAAAAATACCTGGACTTTCTGCTGGGATTGAAACAACAAAAGATCGCCGCCCGGCGCAAATGCAGTTCCAAGAATGGGTACACTTGTCTCGATATGGAGTTTCTCGTAGCTAGGAGTATATGCTGATGAGAATGAAGGTCTTCGCAGCCGCCACCTGCTCCGCGTATCCGATGGTCTTCGATGAAATACACCACTTATTGATGCTAGCGTATCCTCCACCTCTCTAGAGCTAACGCGTTGATCGCGAATAGGGTGCAGTACATATTTCTGCAAAAAGTCGAGTGTTCGTGATACGACCTCGTGCTCCATCGCAAACGAACTTGCTCGCGCTCTGTGCTTTAGCTTCTCGTACCAAGCAATGACTACGGGTGAAAGCTTTGGCTTCCCATGTCGAATTGTGTAAAACTTGTCCCCATGGTCCTGTCTGCGCCGTTGTCTCGCAAATGCCACCACGCCGCTATATCCTGAATCAATGTATGACATCACCAAACTGATGATGCACCCAAACGACCAAACATCGCTCGCGGAGCTGACCCGGCCACTAGGCAATGAGCATTCAGGAGCAAGGTAAGTACCTTCGCCTCTTCGATTTAACGTCGATGGCTCCTGGACATGCCTTTGTCTCCCATGACCTCTTCCTATGATAGGCATTACGAGCTCCACATCAGCTTCGCCATCTAGCCCTCTACCCTTAACACGGGATAGTCCGAAATCCGTGATTTTCCAAGTCTCGGACGGGCCATATGCATCGAAGACAAGTATATTATGTGGCTTGAGATCAAGATGGTAGCATGAGAATACCTCCAACTTTTGGTCGCGGAATTCATGATGAAGAAACGCCAGTGCTCCGGCTAACGTTACCCCACGCGAGTAGATATCCTTCTTTTCCTCCCATGTAGACGGAGGAAATCGATCTTCCGAGTAAACTCCGTTCAAGTATTGCCATAAATTGCAGGATGCGAGTGGAAAAAACAAACTATACGTGGGTCCATATTGCAGACTCGCCAGCGCCACCATTATGTTTTTGTGTCGACGTGGCTGGTCCAGGATCTTGTCCAAAATCTCTTGCTCCCCTCTACCCTCTCGGCGTAACTGAAAGTCTTTTCGCGCAAGCTCCAGTGCTTCTGTATTGGCTGTACGCTCGGATCGTGACTGGAAATGCTGTTCTTCGATCCGTACCTTCCACACCTGACCAAAAGCGCCTTCTCCAATCTTTGTCTCCTGAAGATACGGCAGTGGGCATTGGAGCCGATATTCCTCGTATACGACTTCTTCGCGTTTCATCAGCGTGACGGCGCAGAACCGAAACTGCTTGTGGTAAAATTCGACTCCTTGGAGGGGAAATCGGAAGGTCGCAGTCTCGAGGGGGATGGGGAGTTTTGTATCGGCGAACCGGTCAGCGCCTGTCGCAAGTGCCAGGTCCACGAACTGTCGCAGAACATCTCTTTCCTGGCGCCCGCGGGCGAATAGAAGTATTGCAAAAGTCAAGCTAAGGTCCGTTAACGTTCTTCGTAGAAGGTCCGGTACTTGGGTGAGAGGTGTGCCATTAGCCTGACACAGACATCGCAGCAGTTCTCGCAAATCTTGCTGGTTGCTTTCAAAAACCTTTTTCACGGTGCCGTTGCGGAAGAACCGATGTCGGTTATAGTTAAACGAGGAATTTTCTTTAAGTCGAGTTGTAAATCGCTCGCAAAGCGAGCCGATCACTGCGTCAGTCATGGACGCGGATAGAAAGACGCTCTCGCGTGCCGTGGAAGTAAAGGGACTTTTTCATTCTGCGTAGCTGTCAGTGTTCGGGGATCCCCGCATGCAGCAAACCATGGGAATTAATCTTATTGCGCAGGGGCCGCGTGTGGCTGATACATCATCGCCTTAGCCTTATCGTCAATATCATTAGTGACTACGACGGGGTGTGATCAGCGCCTGCTACCCGATCACGCGTTCATTTCGCCCGAGGCGCTGCGTTCGTTAACCCATTCAGGTTGACACTTGTCTTGCCACTGGGCTAGGCTCAGTTTATAACACATGGTTGACATTAGGAGTATATGCAGTCTGGACACCGGAGGAAAGAAATGAACCCTTTTCAAGTCAGGGTCCCAAGAATCACGTGTGCCTGTCGGTAATTTGATAATATCCGATTAGTACAACAGCGTATTGTAATTTTTATTCCTGAAATATCTTTCATGCCGCCTTTACATACCCGTTGCTGACTGGCCCAAATCTTGACAACAAACATCCCTCTAATTACCCAACTCCATCCTACCGTACTCTTGGTATTGCAAAACTCGATTTTCTTTTCTGTTTTACCCGCGTTTAGAACGTCTTGCGGGGGTTTATAGTCCGCCACAAATTTCGTTGGAAAGTCCTCCTATGATATATACGATGGAAGTGAGCAATTCTTTACTTGCAATTTACCATTTACCCTTTTTCTTTTCAACTTTTTCGAAAGAAGCCTTAAAGCTAATAATGCTTAGCCAAATAGGGCGGTAAAAGCAATTTATTCCCGGGGCCTTAGTGGACAACCCCAAAGGAACGCGAGATTCCCCTCCAGGACAAAAAAGTAGTGCTTCAAGATAGCTTGTTATTATACCTAGAATGCCTATGTAATAGTTGGATGGTCAAGAAGCTTCACTTAGTGGTTTCAATGGAATATATTTATGGACCAAGAAAACAAAGCGCCTACTGCCAAGATATATATTTAGATGTTTATCTTGCTCATCTGGGTATGTTCTCAGTGGTATAGGTACTATATCTACAATGACTATCACGCGGTCCATGCGACTTTTTATATGTAACTACAGGCTGGATTTGCAAAAAAATTTCAATTTGACAATGGATGATATTTAAAATACGTAATCGTCTCTAAGCCCAAGATATGGAGGGGGTGTTTCTAGATTTGCTATTAACCAAGTACAAGCTACGAAGATATAGTATTGTCAACCCCATTCGATATTCTTGACTGTGTCTGCTACACCTGCGGACACAGACTCAATACTGGATTTGTCAGGTGTGTCCCTCTCACGTCGGCATGGTTGACCAGGCCGCCTACGTTGAGCCAAAAGATCAAAATGAATTTTTGACACATCCATAATATCCTAAGGCGTCTCATCGGCGTCTAGGCTCCCTTCCTATTTAGGGTTGGTGTCTGACATAGCTCCTCTTTCCGAAAGACATTAATTACTAGTAGAATTAGGGCAGAATTCTTGCGTTACAAATTCGACGGGCTTATTATATCCACCTTTAATTCATCATAGCTGAAGACCACTGACAACGAGAAACATATCGCAACCCGGCCGTGATGACACTCTATCTGGTGCGACGACAAGCATTGTTAAGACCTTGGGTGCCTCTGAAGTGTCTCGATGCAGTAACCAAAATTGTCTTTACTGGCCGGCCGGCCGGACGCCCGGGCCCACGGGCCCGTGGGCCCTGGCAGGCCGAGATGATGCAGGTCAGTCAAGCTTCCTCGACTCCTTATACCTCAACATAAAGGCTTCTTTGTTCTTGTTTTCTATCTTATTTCTTAACTATTTCCGGGCCCTAGAAGATCATGGCCGACCATATGTACGTTGAGCAGCTGACTCCACTAGACTTGGCTATGCCGAGAACCTACATTAGAGTTCTTTTGGTTTTTCAAACGGCGATTTCGACGCTAGCAGTCACGCAAAGTCTCCAACACGGCCTTGACAAACTTTTGAAACAAGTGCCCTGGCTTTCGGGGCGAGTCTTTCCGAGTACTTCTATGCAAAACAAAGCCTCTCTTGAGATCCGATTCAATGCAGGCGATACACCAACCCTGTTTGATAAAGACTCTATAGCGGCAACATACACGACGTTGTCTTCTCATGGATTACCTATGGAAGCCATTCCGTCCGAAGTCTGGCCAGTACCAAGTATGATCGATGATGCTCTCTGCGCAATGGGCGCCCCTGTTTTCGCCGCAAGCTTCTTTCGTTTTGCAGATCAAAGTGTGGGCTTATGTGTCTGCTTACATCACAATGCTGTTGATGCCGCTGGATTTTCGGAAGTTGTACGACTTTGGGCCCGAAACGTTACGGAAACCGAGTTTGAGTTCTCAGGTTCACCTCAAGGTCGACTTGAACGGGTTTCAACAGCCCTTTCACCTGATCTTGGAGAGATCTCGGCGCTTTCGTCTGAAAGTCTTTTCGCACTTCACCCAGAATACTCCAGCGTACCACCTGCAATGCCAACAGAATTTGCTCCATGCACATCGAGGCTCTTCGCGATTTCAATTCACCGAATAAATGGCCTCAAGAAGACCCTGCGCAAGTATATGCCAAATACACCAACTACAAATGTTCTGCTGTGCGCCCTCATCTGGACTACTATTACCCGTGTTCGAACCAACCGCAAGCCAGCCCTTGAAAGCGAAACGAGCCGACTGGTGACAGCAGTCAATGGTCGACAGCGCATTAGCGAGCGGTTATCCATACCTGAGAATCCGTATTTTGGAAATGCTGTGCTTTACTCCCTGACAAAGTGTCACGTTGGGGTTTTGACCACATCCAATGAGGAAGCAATGCGCTCGCTTGCCCAGTTATGTGAATGCATTTCTGAGTCGCAATCACAATCTACAATCAACTCGCGTCGCATCGCCGAGGTCTACCGCTTAGTAGATTATATGGAAGATTATAGGTCTCTTTTCGTGGGCTGGGACCTATTTGGATCGCGTGATCTCACCATTACAAGCTGGGCTGATCTTGACTTGTATGGAATGGACTTTGGGCCTATGCTCGGGAAGCCGACGTTTGTTAGATTGCCCTGTATGGAAGCAGATGGGGTGGCTATTATTCTACCGCGCCAGAGGGCTTTATCTGAGGAAATGCTCGAAATAATGGTCATGCTACGCAGAGATGATATGGAGTCCTTGGAAAATGATAGCATGTGGCGGACTCTTGTCTCTGGGAATAAGGTGTATGGGGATGATAGTAAGGTTGCTTAATAAGGACAGTCTATAATCTAACGAGGTTACTAGCTAGTGCTTGCGATAAAGTATGGCCATAGATTTGTCAGGGTGTTCGAACAAAAGCAAATAGTTTCATTTCGACGGTAGAATCAGGAGAGGTAACTCTAGCTCGCGATGTAAATGCGACAAGATTTCAGCGTAGCCCGGCTCATTTTCGGCTCGGAGGATCCCATGCAAAATGAGGAATTCAACGATAACAATAGCACTATTCGGCTTGAACTGTCTCTCTTTCAAGGCACGCAGCACTTCCTCGGCAGTGTATAAGCTGAAACTCTCCACTTCGGAGTCCCTGGGCTCAGGGGTCATGCTTGGATCCAATTCGAGCTCGTATGTATACTCTACCTCAGGTTGAAATAGGCCGATCTCCCCTCCAGCTTTGCTCCCCCGGACGTGGAAATATGTGAGGTGGCTCATTGGTTTGACCTTTCCCCTCACCATTTCTTCCGGTAAGGACGCCTCTTCTTGTGCTTCACATACGAGGGCTTCAATCGGGAGCTTTCCAGCAACGAGACCGCCAGCTGCAGTGGTATCAAGCATACCAGGGTAAGTTTGTTTGCACTCCGATCTTTTGCCGATCCATAATCGAAGGCCTTGTTCGTCCCTTACATAGCAAAGAAGTTGGACACCGTAGGTCACAATCCCAAATAAGGCTGTTGCACAACGCTCTATCTTAAGCAGCACTTCTCCTTCGGGACCGTATACCGGGAATTTTTCGTCTCGCCAGCTTTCGAGCATTGATATGACACCGAGCTTTCTAGTGGCTTTAAGAGTGTCCTCAAGCACTCGAGATCGCATGTCGGTTGTTGCTGTAGCCGGCGTCGCTAGAGTAACGGTGCGTTGGTGGTGATCGATTGCCCATGAGTCGGACCACTGGATCTTTTCAACAATCTCGCGGAGAATATATCCCAGCACAGCACTGTATCCAGTTACTCTAAAGGAATAGCATTTTCCCAGAACCTCTGACTGAGATACGGGCTCATCATCCGAAACAAAACTAGCAATAGGGTCAGCGACGTAAGCACACGTTGGGACGGTAGTAATTACTTATCACATTCCCTAACCACATCAAGGATAGTTTTCGACATTTTCAAGGGTAGAGATTGGTTAGACCCATTATACTAAGAAAAGTTTGAGGGAAGCAGAAGTTGATCGGACTCTTACCACCAAGCCAAATGAATGCGTGGCTTGATCGGCATTCGGCAAATCTAAGCCCCACAGCATATGGTACATATGGCCAGTAACAACGACTCTGCTAAACTGTGGTTTTTGCAGACGTTTAGTTTTCTGTATCTTGATATGTCATAAAACTTGCTCGAAGGATACGCATCTATATTTAGCGAAGAGACACTCCATAACTCTAAATACAAAGACATCTGCCTAGTAGGCGGCCTAAATACGCTAAATCAGACAAGCGATCCCGGGTAATATAATATGTAGTTCTCTATTGATACTCCTCATTGTGAGATCCAGCCCTCACAATTAGTATTATGGTTTCCTTCCCCGCTATGCTATAAATATTCTCGTATCGCCCATGTGTGCATTGATTACACTGCTCAAAACTTGAAGTTTGTCCAAAGACGTTACTATTATCTCCCATGGACGCCGCCAATAAGTTGAAATCATGGCACACAATTCTACCTGTCTAAGCCAATCGGAACCAGAGCTCAATATCGATGATGTTATAGAGCCAGATACAAGAGAATTCTTGGAGATTTACTCTGGAATCAATCCCACCGATGTGAATGTTCACGTCGCAAGAATTGTAAGTGCCTGGGCTGGGCTCATTATACATACAAGCTACGCTGATAAACTTTCCGATCCACAGGCCAAACGAGGATGGGAGGTCGCACCTTACCCATGATTCCGGCTGGCTAGCTTCCTCAAGTTTATACTGCCACAATTACCCGCGTACACGAGAATCGTCGACCGAGTTGAACAAGGAGCGTTGTTCATAGACCTAGGCTGCGGACTTGGCCAGGATATCCGGCGGCTGGCGTATGATGGCGCGCCGTCCGAGAATCTGGTGGGGTTGGATCTCCGCAACGCGATTACTGAGCTAGGGTATGACCTGTTCAAGGATAGGGACACGTCGAAAGCGAGGTTTATTTCTCAAGACTTCTTTCAAAACACACTGGAGTTGAGAAAAATGACGGGAAAGGCTGAAATCATCAACTCCGGCCTTTTCATGCATCTTTGGGATTGGGCTGGGCAAATTAGGATCGGTCAGAGATTGAATTGCTGACCCCCCAAGGCGGGTTAATTACAGGGTTGCATTCTGGGGGGGGGGGGCGGGACTCCGGTAACCACAAGGCTGAAGGCTGGATCGAGAGGTATGTTCATAATGAGATGTCTTTTCGACAGATGTGGATAGAAATCGAGAGACTGACAGGAGCTCGTTGCAAATTGGCCCTCAGCGCAGAGGAAGAATCCGTAATTCTGTAGGTTGGTTTCTGCCATATCAGGCAGGTTTTCTGTTTCAACCGGGGCAATGCCAATTCGAGGGTTAAAGCCGGTGTTCTGCCCAGATTGCAGGCCAGAGACTCCTCCTGCTTCAATTGCAGTAATGCCATATCCAGGATAAAAGCTGACATTGGCCGCGTCGTCACCATGCACACTAGCGGCGCTTTGCATATCAATTGGAATGATGCCGTGCCGAGGATTAAAACCGACATTAGGCACGCCGTCACCATGCACGCCAGTGGCGCTTTGCATATCGATTGGAATGATGCCGTGCCGAGGATTAAATCCGTGATCAGATAGGTTCACGGCGTCAACCGGAATGATGCCGTTTCGCGGATTAAAACCGACATTAGGCACGCCGTCACCATGCACGCCAGTGACGCTTTCCATTTCAATACCTTGACAAGGATTAGAGTCACCATCCTGTCCACAAGGGAATCTTTCTACATTAATTGGGCTGTATATGGCATGTCTGGCTATTGTCCAGTTTTGCGTTAGTATTTGAAACGCATCCCTGGGGTGCAGATTACGCGCACTTACGCACTTACGCACTGATAACAAAGGTTCAGATTCAAGTGAGGTTTGACGTGAATTGTCCAACCCCCTTTGGGCATCTTGTGCCCAAAAAAGTGGGTTGTATTGAAATTGCCAACCTATCCAAAAGTTAGCTTGTTTCTTGTATTGCTGAATGGACGTACGTTGACCCGATCCAAAGATCTCTCAATTTTCAGAAACTGACTGGTCAAGCCTATTCCACAATGTTCTGAAAATCGCTTCCGATAATTCACGAATATCCTCTATACCCCCAATATTCGACTGGGCTTTTGGGGAGGGATGCGAGGGAATCCCATATGTCTGGAGGTGTTGAATCGCCTCTGTTCTCTTTTCTCCGCCGAAGGGGAGCACTCTGACACTTCATGGGAGAAAGTCAATTAGAGAACTCTAATCCCTTCAGTGATGGACGTACAATTCACAGTTTACCTTTGAAGGCAAAAGAAACAGCCAAGATAGGTATTCAAATCCTTGGACTTGATCGCTCAAATCCCTGCACAATGCATCCAGTCGATGGCCTTCTTCGATCCAACGCGACAGCTTGTTTTCAATGATAGATGAGTCATGACTGGTCAAACCGGATGCATGTATCATCCGTGCGATTTTTGCCATATGGACAGAACGCAACTGTTGCGAGCAGACCATGAGTTTCAAATGGTAAAAAAGGAGACATTGAGGAATCGTGTGCGTATCGAATCAAGCCCTTGCCGTGACTCTAACGACACCAGGCAGCTATAGAAGCCCCCAATACAGTCGTCGAGCTCAAGGTTGACGTCTGATCCTTTAACAAAGAAAGAAAGAGGGTCATCCTTCCAGGATGTAATATTTGTCTTCACTTCGTCCGGAAGGGTTGTGCTCAACTCAGACTCTTCAGTATTCCTGCGAGCCAAAAGCTTTTTTGTTTTCTTCCCAGTGTCTGAGCTTCTCTTTGCCTTTCTTTTCTTTTCCAGACTACCCGTGGCGGAAACCACGGGTTGGTTGTGTGAGTGATTCTGTCCCGTAGAAGTAATGTCGGTGACGTATTGTCTACGAACTTACCTTGGGTCTCTGTGGGCGTCAGAGTCTCGATTCCAGGTATGCCTCTGATATCCTCCTGCATATGTGTTGGAAGACAGGTCCATGCTTTTCGGAGAATACTTAAAGTCTTCTGTTGAGTCAGCTATGTCGAGAATGATCACTTATGAACATACATGCGGATCCGGAAAAATATCTTGACTCCCATTTCTCTGGTTTATTTCTGCCATATCACAGGCAAGGGAAATTTCAGCTATATAGGCTCTACTCACAATAAGGCCCATCGTGGTGTCAAATTTATTTAATGTCAAAACCCAGGACAACAGCTGTGGCTTATTAACCCCGCAAGAGGGTGATATGCGGGAAAGGGAATTACCATTGATCCGATAAAGGCACACCCACCAAGGAGGGATAATCAAGAGAACCAAATCATCGGACGTCCCCTTACAAGTGTGATTATACAGAATTTATTTTAATGGATAACGAGAGTCCTAGTTGCTTGGTTTCCTTTCAGACATAGTTTCATACGGCGCTAAATGTACAAAATAGTTCACCAACTAGGAGGAAGGCAATACTTGTACCAATGCATCTCCGTATCAGCATCCTTAAACCTCTCGATCTTGTCAACCACCCCATCTTCTCCAATCTCCCACTCACCATCCTCCACCATCTGTGCCCAGCGTAGCAGTACCTTGTCTAACTGAACCATACCGCGATCACCGAAGCCATTGAGTCCAGACTGGTAGAGGCTCTTGTCATCCCCTTCCGGATGAGATTCTATTTCGTCTATCGATATCCCTGTTTGGGCTCCATCGCTAGTCCGTGTCCATCCGTTTCCCCCAACCACGAAAGGTAAAAGAAGATAACACGTGTTCGAAAACGCACGGTTTGTTTTTGAATGAATCCTTTCTATATATAGCCCTGCTGGGAGCTTCGGAATATTACTAGGCGGTGAATAGGATGGCGGAGGGGGCGGTGGCGAGAGACGATGAAGGCCACGGCCAAGGCCCTTCTTGTTATCTGTATAGAAAAGGAGTAGGGGTAGTTTTGTTGGATCATTTGTTGGGTAAGAGCCGAGGTAGGGCTGGGCGGCGAACTCTGAAACAGTTGGTAGTCGGATTCCAGGTGCAATATAGCGAAAGGTTATCCTTTGTGGAGACAGACCCGTGAGAAAGTCGTGTATGAAGGTCTTTGGTGGTAAGTTAATTGAGGTGAGCAGGTCTAGATCAGACCAAGGATTGTAGGAGTTAGTCGCTTCATGGACTGGCTGGCGGACCTGAATAGCATCAAGCAGTTTTTGCATAGCAGACAGAGCTTTATCCACATCGGATTTGGTATATGGATGGAGAACCCATGGCTTCATAACCGCAGGCCAGTCTGGAGGGTTAGGGCACATCAGGGTAACTTTGGCTTCATCAATCATGTCAAGATATGCATCGAGAATGACCTCCAGTGGCTTGAAACCCCAGCCGTGAATACACATTGGAGACTCCTCAAATATATGGCCGATGAAGGCTGCCAGAGATTCTTCCTGATCATACCTAATATTAACACTCATTAGCTATATTACACATTATAATTAACCGGACTTCAGCTCTCTTACAAAATACCCCTTTCATTGCCCATGTTATAACCTGTGGTACAATAGAGCCACAAAAACCGACCGGGGTACAATTCCTCTACCAACGTTTCAAAGAAGGCATCAGGAGGAATAAGACTATGGATCCAGTAAAAGAGAGCAGGCCTTTCTATCGGATCCTTAGGGTTATTCTTAGGCTCGACATAGGCCAATTTTAAGAACTCAATCAGAGAAGAGTCTAAGGTTTCTGCAATCTTCTGTGATGGCGAAAAATACTCCCACCAGGTAATATGTGGCGATGGACAAGATCCCCTCCATGACAGGTGATAGAGCTCATTATGCAATCCTGCGCAACGCTCATAATCCATACGGCCCAGTTTCCGCACTGGATTGGACGGGGTGATTCGGGGTCCCATTGACATCTTCGATAACCAGATTGTAGAGATAGGTTGATTGAATGAGACGAGCGATAGGAGGGGAGCCAGGCGATATATAAGCGATTATGTCCCACTTCTTGGCAAATGTGGTGCTAATCTGTGCAACGTTACATTAGATTTTGTTTTCCTTTTGCGGTTCGTTCAATAGAAACTTCCATGCTTCCCCTCCCCGTCTGCGTATTCCATGGATTAATGGCTCTACTACCACAGCAAATCGCGAGGATTATAGGCTATACATTGTATCTATGTTGTAAAATCTCTCAAATTAAATACCTACAAAAAGTATTCATAAACTGCACGTCAGTCACGGAGCGTCCCCAATGTAAAGCCTCAATATACCACTGCTGTTGACTGGATAAGTTCACAGCTAATGACAATCGCCAGAATAACAGGAATCTCGACCGCAATACTCCTCCGTACTTCCGCAATATCCAGCTACCGAGCAACATTTACCAAATTGAGTGCCAGTGCATGTCTTGTTCCCGGCAAAGCTGGGCCCGCATTCGCCGTTAACACTCGGACCACCATTATCATCATCACAATCTCCCGAGAAACATAGACCAGGACCGCAAAACTCTGATCCACTACCGCAATAACCATGGATAGAACAGCACCTGTATCATTGGTTCAGTCAGCATTTAAGCGAATTCGAAACGTCTAGGATAAAACACAGATGCTTAGACAAGGGGTTCCTACGAGCCGAATCTTGGATTGGTACACGTCGTGTATTTCCATTCAGGACCACAGGTCCCATCTTGGGTAGCAGTGTCGCCTCCTGCATCACACGCTCCGGAAACGCAGTTTCCTGGACTGCAGTACTCCGAGGTATTGCCACAATATCCGCCTATTGAGCAGCATCTACTCATAGAGTAGTACGTCAGTAGTCATGGCCTTGCGCTGTGCTCGGTCTAGCCTTCCGTATAACTCACTTTCCAAATGAGCTTCCTTCACAGGCGGTATTCCCATGGGATGGGCCACATGTTCCATCTTCTGATATCATAGTTTTGGTAACTGGAGCAACGCAGACATCGTAATTCAGCCACAGGTTGGTACAGTTATTCCACAACTAGAGGCAATTATCCCAGTGAGCCTCATACATTTTTCTCGCACGGACATGGGTGGAACTCACGTAGGTATTCATGGTCTGCAATTCGGTAAACGTAATTCCACTTCGGCCAGTCAGTATTCTTAAGTATAACAGGTCACAAATAAAGATTACTCACAAGCGAAGAGCCACCGTGTTACACTATCCTGGTAGTCAGACTCAGTGTTTTCACGATGCTATGGTAGGCCACTCACTTCATCACCAGCAACAACTTTGTAATACCGGCCACAGTCAGGGGCGGTGCCAGGGCGTGTTGGCTCCGCCGGGATTGCTGAGAGCAAAGTAAGTCATTTAGCCTGTATAGAGAAGTAAATAGATAATCAAGAAAGCATTACCTGTTGTATAATATGAGCCTGCAGTAGTAGGAGCATAGATCACGCCAGAAGCCTTGAAAAAGCCACCTGGAGGGCTGAAAGAAACAATCAGGATGGCCCTTGTCTACCAAGAAGGCAGAATGAAGTGTAGAATCCCTTACCCTTTGCAAACGCGTTGCGAGTTGTGCACCCAGCTACAGGCCCCTAGGATGTTTGGATTCCAGCTTAAGAATTGCGTCTCGGATATAGGGAGCTCATCAGTGGAATAGCGAGCTGCTAACTCTTCACTTGAATAGTGTTAACGGAGAGGGAAAAAATAACAAGTCATAAGTGGGGCCATTTGCTTGGTGCCTCGAGGATTCTTTGGCTTACCAGGTTGTTTTCCCCCATATAGTATCGATTTCACAAGGCTTAGGCAAGCACAAAGGGGTATCAAACTGACACTGTTTATCCTGTGTAGCATCAACCACTGTCCCTGTGCTCACATTGTATTTATCAGATATTTCGCGGCAGCCCATCCAGGAATCAGATGGTTCAATCAACTGCCCAGGACAGCTCGTTGGTGATGGGAGAGGGGTTCCGGTGGCAGTAACTGGCATGGTGCGAGTTGAAGCAAACAAGGTAGTTTCGTAAGTCGTCACAGGGAGCTTGGTAGAGCAATACTCCTGTATTGTGGAGTATTGATCGAGAAGGTAGTCCGTATGCTCGCCGGATGGGAGCAGGGCCGACATAAGCCGCTGTCTCCACATTTTTATGAAGCATTCGCTACATAGCTATACGAGGCCTTGTCAGTTTTATCATCGGTTGGTAGATTCTGAATAACAGCAACATACAAGGTCTTTCTCGTAAAGATTGGTCACGTCCATCATATCCTTTGTCATCTGGGTCGTAGAGAAATCCGGGTCTAAGCATTCTGGAGGTGTACCACCCTCATACTCATAATAACACACTTCTGGATCCCATCTAGGTAATATTAGCTGCCAATTGAAAGGTTTATAGCTCAGCGGTTGCTTGCCTTACCGGATATAATCACTACCCTGCCATCTCTGTGAATTTACAAAGCACCAATCTGATGAGCTAAATATAGGTATGTCAATAACTCTTATAAGAAGTCTTCGACATTGCTGTTAATGGAGTATCCCCTCACCTATCTTGTAAACATACTAAGTCGTACCCTTCCTTCCATGCTGTTGGAACCGTCTTGGCAAGCATGTAGACATCCCCAACAAACACCGTCTGCCGGTCACAATCACGGTCCACAGCGTTCAACCAAGATGATAGTGATGCCGCACATTCCTGAGTACACAACTTTGTTGTGTTCTCTATAGTCCAATCTAGACCCAGATTAGATCACCCATAATATTACGTTCACCAGAATATCGTAAAAACAGAGCAAAACTTGCAGTATTGGTCGGGGCCCGAGGCCGCCATGCTTCCTATCGCTTCGTCGCATAGGACTGTGCTGTTTCTAGAGAGGGATGAGCTTTGCAACAAGGCTTAAAGGTTCGGAATTGCGTACAATGACTTCAAGCATTGCTCTGAAAGCTTGAACTCTTCCTTTAAAAGCTGCCCATCCAATCCAGCATACACATTGAAGGACCCTTCTACCACATGAAGCAGACTAAGACAGATGAACCATAGTCTTGTGATTCTGGCAGCCTTGTCCAGATGTACCATAGTGCAAGGAAGGGGATTTGCTGTCTACTACTCCTTAGACTTGGGCTGAGGCAATGACAATGGAGTTATACAAGCTGAAAGCAAAAGTAGCTCAATAAAGGAGGATCACAGAAGTAATATTCTGGAGTTCCTCGGCATTTTTTTCGTGCAACCGGTCGTGACTCGGTGGTTTAATTTCATATATTTACGTAAAGCTGCATCTGCTAATAAGAACACTTTCTAAATCCCTCATACGATATGGACATCTAGACCCGTAAAGTTGCAAAGTTGTTACCTTATTACAATGCTCTAAATCACTAGTTAACGGGGGCAGGGGCCGACAGTTACAAGGGGCCCATTGTTGAAGCCAGACTCGCTACTCAAGGCTGCAGGACAACCCACTAATATTCCATTGAAGATGATACCGCTCAGGATAAACCCATTAAACGTAAACATAAGATGCGACACATCCTTTGTAGATATTACGTATCGTTTGGCCATATTTGGTAGGCTTCGATCTAAAACTGCTGCATAGGACACATTTATATACCTTAGCACCGGTACAACATCGATTGGGCGTTCCATAGCCGTTGCAATCATTCGCACACTGTCCCAGACTGTCCTATAATTTGCTGTACAAGGATATCGGCCAGGTAGATTTCGTAGGCTGTTCTTAACGAGGGTTTGTACATTGAATTCCGGGTCTGCACTTGCATCCAGATTGTATTTATGACCAAGCTCATTCCACTAACAGGGGCTGGGGCCATAGTGCAGAACATCACTAAGATTAACAATATCCTCCTCCTGGTCAAGGAAGCTATAAATTTTTTAAATAATCTCAGAGGGCAAAAGAATTGGAAAATGGCCTCTATCAATAGCCTTACCACCTTCATCACGCATAACCACAAAGATATTTGCATCTAGATCACCTGTCGGGCAGGTAAAAAGGGCTTGGGTGAGGAAATAAAACATATTGATAATATATCCAGAGAAACAATTGATCCAAAGTTAACTGAAGCAGTCCATCTGTAGAGCTCGCGCAGCGATTGACCAGCACCCACAGTAAGCAACGGGCGTCTGAAGGTCATTGCCGCGAGCATTGGACGCGTCCACACAGTCGCGCAGAAGCAGCTTGTCCGTACCAATTCCATTCTGAACTGCTTCCCGAAGCACGTAATATCGACTATACGAAGCATTAAGCTGCAATTTACATAGAAAGCAAGGTAAGATAACAATCATTACATATATTTACAGAGTAATTTCCTTGCGAGTACAGAAAACACCCGCCCTGAACCTTTTTGGGTCGAGCAAAGTCGGACAATAATTGACCTAAGCTAGGCACAATCTAAACCAGTTTTGGATCACCTAGCAGCTCTACAGTCCCACAGGGATGTATTTTCCCTAGCCGAGTACCCCTGACTACCATGGTACTAGGAACTGTGTCAGGGTATTAGAACATCGCCCTTTATGCTATTGCTAAGGAGCGGTCGTCAGTCGCAACACAAATAGGACTGGGGGAGTAGGATTTTTCAGACCTCAGCTGACTCTTGTGAAGGTTCCGAGATAGTACCGCTAACAGGGATCAAATAAGAGCAAAGAGACTGGGTTTAACCTTCCAATACTCATAGTGCACCACGGATTTCCAGAATCAGCTCTATCATAGTTTAAATTGCCTCGGGCTAGATTAGCAAAAAATGACTTGTAGAATCGAGTCTACCAGTATTATCTACCTCTCCATATTGATAAGTAATTGATACATGAATGGCACGATTCACATAAAAATGCGTCATGTTCCCTAAAACACTGTTATTTACTCTTAAGTCATGGTTTAGTGTAACAACCATATTGTGTCAATTTCTCCTTTCATATGACAAATGGAAGCGTCTGTTTTGACATCTATTTACCCATACAAAATCCAAAATTAAAGCTATCGTGGCGAAGTCCAGCAGCCAAGAACAAAAGCGGAGTGGTATCCAATAGAACGTATAGAATATAAGTGAAGTGGGTCGAACAGATCACCCGTGCTCGGGTGAGCGTCGGCCAAGCCGCTCACCCCATCTATTGTGCACTCCCAAGCTCACCCAAGCTCGCGCGACCATAAAGCGGCTCACCCGCTAGCTCACCCGGGCGGCAGCCACCCGACTTCTGGCCGCGTTTAAGCCACACGCCGGGAGGTTAGTAGTTGGGTGGGTGACCACCAGCGAATCCCTCCTGTTGTATGTTTTATTTTTTTTGGGCTCTATTTTATTACTCTTGCCTTTGTCTATCTATCAGTTCCTAAAATGGACATCAGGATAATCAATCAACCAGGTGAGGTGAAGATGTAACGAAGTTGGCCAGAACATTTCCACCACTAAAAGAAACTGATGTAGATTGTACTCGGCCATTAAATGGACTTCTATCTTGCCTTTAATGAGATGAATAGATTGTGTAGAATGAGTCCTATACCGGCATACATACAAGTGCAAACGAAGATTTCATGTTTGCCCTCTCTTGGAAATGGTAGCGGCAGACTAGTTGTTTTGTGTTCTGTTGGTTAGCTTAAGAACTCCAGTTATTCTACTGATTAGCAGCCTCCCTGATGTTTTCAGTATACGGTGGTATAGTTGTTGGAAAAAGATAATATCATTTGAGGCTTGGGTTAATATAAGCATGCGGCTTCATGGTCCTTTTTCTGATAGCGGCGCTTGGTCTCGCTTCTTAATTTTCTCTCGACGCCAGTCGTGTCCCCATTTCATAAGTACCCATAGTAAAGGGCTAAATATTATCCAGATGAACGCCAACAATGTTCCTGCCCATCCAATCCCAATAGCATTGATAAGGGGAGTCGCGACGGCAACAGCCCCAGCACCTAGGAGACACCGGAAGAGATTGCTGGCGGCAATTGCGGTCGCAGGCTTTTTAACATGGCAGTCGACGAGAAGTGTCATAAGCGTATTTATCGTACCAGACATCGTATGCCCTGCGAGACAAAGCATAATGAGCGGACCAGCTAGGTTGGTCTGGTGGGCCATTACCCAGCTATAAGTGATGATGAAGCCGGATGCCAAGTACACTAAAGGAACAGTAAGCTGAAGTCGTGCGATTTCTGCTGGAAAGTCGGTGAGATCAGTTTGGCGATTCTTGACTAGCTTGAGATCCAGACGGCGTGCATGACGTCTGAAATTCCAGTCCGTGAGATATCCGACGGTCCAGCGTGATGTTAAACTGCCAAAGGCGTACGGAAGGCAGCATAGACCGATCTGGAGAGCGTTGAAACCGTACTTCCTTTCCAGCTGTGCGGGTAGCGTACTGAGCACCGTGGCGTATCCGCAGAAGAGAAAGGCGATAAAAGCAAGGATCATCGTTGACTCCTTTTCACGGCAGATTTTGAATGTCTCCAAGGGACTAGGCCGACGTTTGGACTGCGGACGTGTAGTAACATCACTATACGTCTCTGTCCACTCCGGCTGTTTTCGACGCGCTAGATCCAATACTCGGCGATTCCACTTTTGCGGCGATATTGACCCATTGCCCACGACAGTTCGACTTGTTTCTGGAAAGAATACAATCACCACCACCGACATGAATCCCGCAAGAGCAGTTAAAAACCAGAATATTGAATGGACGTTCGCGAATTGAGCGAGAAGACCCCCGATCACTGGTCCAAGCGCTTGTCCCGCTGTTACACCCATCGTCGAGTAGGCAAGGTATTTCCCACGCTCCGCCCGGACTACTATATCTGTTGCGGTAGCAGCGCCAATGACGGCAGCCCCACTGCTTCCTGAGCTCTGAAGGCAACGCAATACCATGAGGGCTGGGTATGAGTTCTGCAAGGCTAGACCTATATTGGCCGCTATATAGACGGCAAAGCAGATGAGAAGTCCTGGTCGGCGACCCTTCTGATCTGAGAAGTTTCCTACCAAGGATGGAGCTAGCGCTTGACATATCTGTCATAGGCAGGATTATTAGGATATAGTGAGATTTTCTTTTTACATCCAGAGGTATTAGACGTACCATGTACACTGTAATACTAAGGTTGATTTCGCTGGACGACACGTGGAGATTGTCGGCAAGTGTATTGAGGGCCGGAAAGTAGATACTGGCAGATATTGGAGCAAGGAATCCGGAAAACGAAGCAATTAAAATTGTACATATTTTTTCCCTCTCAGACAGGATAGTGTATGGTACGTCCGGTACTTCAGCTGGTGGCTGAATATCCTCATCCACTATTGTACCGGGGACATCCTTGCTCTCTAGCGGCTGTATGGTCATTGTGTCCAGTGAAGGGCCTTCAACCGGCCCCTGTATAGATTTTTGGAGGTTTCGTAGGACCAGGAGGTATCTCAGCGTGTAAGCACAATGGCAATAGCATAGGGCCAGTGCATATAGCTAGCTTGCGGAGAGAATCGTAGTACACATGAACGCGACTGCGGAAACATTGCTGCGTGTTCACAGGCCGTAGGGTACGCCTCATTAAGGGGTATTTAAATGGCACGGTTTAAGAGAGATCTACATGTCGATCACGGTAGCATTATAGTGGATACAGAAGCCTGAATGTCTAATATTCACCCGGTCCTTACATCGGGCCGATACGCACTATTGACCTTAGGGCTGCTATAATTACAATCGATTTACGGAGTACTCATAGTCAATTTCATCAGGGATCCACTTTGCCACTAGCTAGGAAGATCAAGGTAGACTAGTGAACACAACTCGTGGCTGAAAGATGTGATATCAGATTCAGGATGGCTTTCGATTGTTGATCACCCGACGGACATGCTGCAAGACGATGTCAGAATATTCTCCCTTCGCCAAGCCAAGCCAACAATTTTGTTGCGATGCATACCAACGCGTCGATTAATACCCCACTGTTGCACCGCAGCCGCCTATCAGATTTTGTAATCCAAGAACGAACTAACACAACCTTGAAAATCAATATTGCAAGCCCTGTCACCGTGTGTATACTAAAGTATTGCTACCTGCAAATGAACAGCGCGCTTACCCTATATAGCATAGAAATAAAGTATCATTTAGGCAACATAGGTATACACGAAAGCTTCATTGAAGGAATGATCTTGCATTAGGTCCATACATATGTCGCACTGAATCCGAACTGCTACACTGCGACTTTTTGGGATGGCTGCCATTAGACCGGGAGAATCATTCGGACATATGATACCCAGCACACCATTCCGTATCGTGAAGGTTGGATGTATAAGTTTAGCTAGTCTCGCTTAGCTTCCATTCCGAACGCATATGGAATGTTAGTGCTTGCGCGCCAGTAAACACGCGCAGCGCGAAAAGCTATTCTTGCAATATCTTTAAGCTTTAAGTTGTGCATCGACAATCGCGAACTGATTAGACGCTGGTAATATAATCCGAAAGCCCTCTTGAATCGCGTGGAGGCTCAAGGGCCAACGCTATATGCGCATACATAACCAAAAGGCACTTCCCGATAGCATAGGTCTTATTCAGCAGAATATTCTCAAGTCACGTTTCACGCCCGATTAGAGGTCCATAATATATTTTAATTAAATAGCCATGTCATATATATCATCTAGCTAACCATTACATTAACAAGATGGCCAGCTCACGTGAGGGTTATGAACCCTGGGGCTAGAATTGGGGTGATTCTATTCTAGATATGCCAAGAAACTGTCAAGGCTCATTAAGCGTATTATAATCCCGTCATTGGTGCAAAAATTGATCTGTAAATGAAGGTCATTCTGCGGGGTACATTAGGTACCCCAGCTTTCGGGTATCACTATCCCGAGAATATATAAACACGGGACTTCTGAGCATTCCAACGCATGTCTGATGCCGTAACGATAAGGATACCACAAGGATGGTTTTAAATGCCATATTCTTACTTCTCCTCGCATCACCTCCTACACTGGGGAGCATTGAGCGGTAAGTTTCACTGCAGCTCTCATCCCACCCGAATCTGCATTCTAGCTAACCTGAGCAGACAACGTATAGTAACCAAATACAATGTAGTCCGCTCCAGTCTGATCACCAATGAGACGACACCTCTCCAAGTGGGTAATGGTAACTTTGCATTCAATGTTGATAATACAGGTTTGCAGGTATGAGTTTCCGACGCATAAATTCTGATATGGTGGCTCATAAAGCAAGCAGAGCTTTCTGCCATTCAACACATTATCCAGTTGGGGCTGGCATAATGATTCTCTCCCAACCAATGGGTGAGTAAACGCCTCAGTTGCCTTTTTGCGTTTACTTTTGTGCCTTGGTTGGCTTATCGCTTTAACATCTCTACAGGGAGAAAATTGAGGATTATCATGGGGTCTCCATGTTAACCCATGGACGGAACGTGTCATACGATATTCCGGATCCCGATCTCCCTGAAGTGTCTCAATGGATCACTGCCAATCCCAACCGCATAAATCTAGGACGCATTGGGTTACAGTATAAAGGCTCACTTGTCTCCGTATCTCAAATTACAGAGCCACGACAGGAGCTCGACCTATGGACAGGAGTCATATCCTCGACTTTCAAGGTTGAAGGTCAGTTTGTTAAGGTGGTGACTCAAGGAGACTTAGATTCGGACTCGGTAGTCTTTGAAATCGAGTCGAGCCTAATCACATCGGGTGATTTGGCCGTCGAGCTAGACTTTCCGTATCCGCCAATTCACACAACCAAGTATAAATATGAAGTTTTTGCTGGAGTCTACGATTTCCCCCAAAACCATACTACCCTCATTGAGGGAGACACTGGAAAGAACAGCGCACATATTCGACACGAGTTGCAGGAGACGAATTACTATCTCAATCTGCGATGGGGTTCTGGACAACCACTACGGCTTTCTCGTCAACACAATGCAACCCACAGGTACACCATCAAATCCAGATCGTCACCTTCCATGGCATTCACGGCGAACTTTTCGCCAGAAAAGCAAATGGCCGATCAACCAGCTGTGGTCCAGCAGCGTAGCTCCACGGCATGGAACCAGTACTGGACTCAAGGAGGGTTCATCGACCTTACTTCCTCATCTAATCCTAAGGCAGACGAGCTCCAGCGTCGCATCATCCTATCGCAATACCATGTGCGGGTGAACAGCGCAGCTAATGGACAGTCACCCCAGGAGAGCGGTCTGATGAATAATGGGTGGTATGGTTAGTATAACCCTGTTAGTGCATTGAGATGCATATTTGCTAATAGTCCGGCTAGGAAAGTTTCACATGGAGATGGTGGTGTGGCATAACGCGCACTGGGCGACATGGGGTCGACAGGAACAATTTGACAACATCTTCCCGGAACTATATGAGGCACTACTACCATCATCAATCGCACGGGCGAAGTCTATGGGGTGGGATGGCGCACGGTCTGCTATCACTAATCCTGACAATGCAACACATGAACTGACATCTTTTAGTTGGCCAAAAATGACCGACGTTGAGACTGGAGTCAGCTCTCCTGGTGGCATTAATGGTATTCTGTTGTGGCAACAGGTACGCTAATGTGCTAGGAAAGGTGGCTGTGTACTAATAGAGGCAGCCTCATCCCATGTACCTGGCAACGTTGGCTTATCAAGCAGCTCCGACACGCGAGACCCTAGAACGATGGGACCGCGTCCTAACGGCCACGGCTAATTATATGGTCTCTTATGCTTGGAAAAATGCAAGCTCAGGCTATTATGATCTAGGACCGCCGTATGTGCATTTGCCATCTGCCTATAGACCAATCTAACATGCTCAGGGCATATGGCGTGACTGAGAACACACCTCCATCTGAAAGCCTCAATCTTGCATATGAAGTTAGCATAGCCTGCCTGTCCAGCTAGATTACTCATGTTAACATATTCTTAGACTGCATATTGGAGATACGGGCTTGATGTCGCGCGTGAATGGAAAAAGAAGCTTAGCCAGCCAGTTCCCGAGAAATGGGAAATGGTCGCGGAAGGGCTCGCTCCACCCCCGCAAGTTGATGGTTTGTATGCCGTCTACGAGGGATTGAATAGCTCATGGTGGAATGATACCTCTCTGACCGGAGACCCTCGGAGCTTGATTATGCTTCAAGGCATCCTCCCTAACACCCCAGCAGTTGACCCGGATGTTGCTTCTGACACAGCCAAAAAGGTATGGGAAATCTGGACAGACGACAAGATTAGGGGATGGGGTAGACCGGTTCTTGCAATCAATGCGGCACGGCTGGGAGATTCGGCACGAGCGGTATATCACTTGACCGCATATGACTATTGGAATTTTGATGATGCTGGTGCGTCCCATCCTATATATGCGTATTGAGCCTAAATACTAATGAGTCTGCTCCAGGATTTGCCGAGCGTGGAGGAGATGGTAAGTTATGGTAAAACCCTTAATAATGCTGTCTCTAACGCAAGCATCCAATCTAGGAGGAACCCCTCCCCCCTTCATGCCTGGTAATGCTGGGCTACTATATGCTGGTAAGTCCACCATATATAGAAACACAAAAATAGTCATAGCACTAATAAGAATAGTGGCATACATGGCTGCCGGCTGGGAAGGATCTCAGGGCGACGCTCCCGGGTTTCCTCGAGACGGTAGTTGGGTAGTCAACCATGAAGGATTGCTCAAAGCACCGTAGGCTGCCTCATAGTCACTTCTAGGTGTTGTATGAAAGTATGATATGCAGGGGTCCGAAATTGATATAGCTATTTACCCAACCAATGCGTTGAAAAGGAACGTAATGCTTTGTATATCCGCCCGCATAAACGGCATTCTTGCAGTAGTTCTAGGCACAATTAAGCAATGATCACCAACATGAAACTTGTAAGTAGTTTCATATAGACACTTGCTCGTTTGGTCACGGAACGGAAGAATAGCAAATTTCCGCGGCTGTCGTACCGATCTGCCGGCCCGCCGTAGCCCTAAGCCAATTCTTATAAATCCGAGTGATTTTGCCACCCATATTCTGAATAGAGCAAGTTTCCAAGCCATTCACTTACATAGAGACAAGATGTTTCCCAATTTAGCATTTGCACTTCTTGCCATTGAGGCATCTGCACAAACTGTAACATCTACAGTCACCACTACAGCTACCTCAGCCCTACCCACACTCCAATCAGACTGGTACTTTATCCGCGCCGTCGAAACGCCCTACTACCACAGCTACCTCCAAACCATCCCAAGCGCCACACCTGGACCTGCCCATCTAGCCATTAACACGAATGCTGGTCAGTTCAATATTGTCTCAGGCCAGCTCGTTTACAACACCGGCACCGAGCAGCTTTACATGAACGTAGAGGACCCTGCAAACAAAACACAACGAACTTTACAAACCTGGTTCAATGTAACTGAGAACGCATATGGGACCTTTGCCTTTCAGGGAGACGCGATTACCTGGACGGTAGAGGATATTGATCGGCAGAATACTGCCGCGTGGTTTGTTTGTGGGGAGGATAAGCTGTATATCAACACGGGGGCTTATGGATATGAAACACCCGATGGCTGTCATGATCAAACGGTATGATGGCTCTTCCTGTCCTTGGAAAGCTATAAAATAGAACACTAACAATGATAGATCCATTCGTATGGAGGGTCGACGCCAACGGTTTGACGAAATGCGTTATCAAGAGAGTCGGCAGCCATTTGAGAATAACAGGTGGTGACTACCGATAGCCCAATGACTGTGATTCCAGAAGCAGTGTAGAAGTAATGAAATATTGTTCTATTCTGGAATTCGATGTAGTTCTCTGCAGCTCCAAGATAATATGATCTGATATATGTTAAACATTTTGTCTTGCTGGAACTTACATTTAGAACCGTAGGTGACCGGTTCCGGATATCTATACAAAGTATTGTTGAAAAACAAGCTTGTCCAAAATAACAGCGATCAACAGTTACCCAACCCCTGGTATGTACATCTGATTCCTCGAGAACTTATATGGCCTTGGTCAAAGCTTCAAGCTATTTAACCCAGATAGCAGCATAGCGATCCGCTGTCCCATCATTGTAGGCACTAAAAGTCCTCAAAACATAGCCTTCATCACGGTACTTGTTGAACTCAGCCTGAAACTTGGAGGACTCAAGGCCGTGTCTTGCCACCCACGCACCGGATGCAGACTTATCCCAAATTGCCGCATACATGACCTCATCTCCGACCTGATACCCGTCCACGTCAACAAGTCGGTACCCATCCTTCACATGTTTGTCAAACGTAGCCTGGTAAGCAGTCGAATTGAGTTCCCCAGCAGAAACCCAGGGAGTAGGGTCATCCCGCTTTTCCCAAACAGCAGCATAGCGACTCTCATTGTCAACTTCATACCCGCTAACATGGGTCATTCTGTATCCCTCCTCCAAGTACTTGTCGAAATATCTCTGCATCCATTCTTTGTTCATTCCATGACGCGAGATCCAAGGGACAGATGAGTCTTTCTCCCAGATAGCAGTGTAGCGGTCCTTTCCATCAATTGTGTAGCCATTGACCTGGACAACGCGGTATCCTTGCTTCAGGTAGTCTTCGAACTTTTGGTGGTATTGGTCGGAGGTCATCCCATGGTGAGACTTCCAAGCCGGGGAGGACCTCTTTTCGAAGATGACAGCGAAGTTTGGCTCTTTATTGTACTCATACCCGCTGACCGAATTCAGTCTATAGCCTTGTGAGACCATTTGATCAAACTTTGTCTGATATGCTTTGCTATCGAGGCGGTAATAGGCGTGCCATTCGTTGGCTTGGACACAGAGTGCCGATGCGAGGGCGACTGCCCAGAGATGGAATTTCATGATTAACTCAAGACTGGATTCGTCGGGTAACTGTGAATTGTATGAAATAGAGAGTCGAAACTGTGGGAGCTCTGATGATTTACCTCAAGCACTTACAAGTTTCTGCCCCAAGTTGCCATCTTTATATATCCTCGTCCCGTATCTTTTTCATGACTAACCTATTTTGTGCCCATGATGCGAACATATAACTCTTTGCCATACGAGGTCTAATGGGGCAGAATATATGAAGATGCTAATCTGAGTGGAACAGTGGAAATAACGATCAACACCAGATCGTAGAGAGATTATCTTCAAGGAGTAGTTTATTTTTATCTCTCCAACGACCATCTGTCGATCTGTCTTGGGTGTCGCTGATACGAACGACAATACCTCGTAAAAGTGGAGCGACCTCGTAAACGTCACGTCTCACCCAATTGCATCATGTACCTGGCGTGGACTAAGACACAATCAGGTAGCTCATCTGAGGCTTACATCTAATTGTTCAACAATACTACTTCACCTTGCTGTATTTGGAACCGCCATAGGGAGAAAGGTCTCGGAGAACAGTTGACCAACCACTAACCCTAATAACTCTCGAGTACTTGGCTCACCTGCCCAAACAAGGTGAATACGAGCTATAATCTTCCCGAGCCGGAGTGTGATATCACCTGATTGCTGGGTCCCCTCCTTCACATCCTGTATGTCTTTGCTTCCATCACAGCCCCCCATATGTTGAATATATTCATCGCAAAATGGCTTCTAACGAAGAATACAAGACCCTAACTGCAACCTGCCACTGTCAATCCGTGCACTTCACAGTCACTATTCGGGGTGACGCTCTTCCTCTGAGCATTCACCTATGCCACTGCAGTGTATGCCGCCATACACATGGAGCCCTCTGCAGCTTCCATGCCCCGCTTCCCAAAGATATTCGTCCCGAATTCATCTCGCCGTCAAGCCTTGACAAATTAACACCGTATACGTACCCACAGTCCAAATCTACTCGGTTCTTCTGTAGTAAATGTGGTTGTCATATTGGTGACCGCGATCACGCAGATGGTCGCTGGGTGGTATCCAGTGCGATCTTCGACGATAGCGGAGACGAAAGTGTCTGGCAAATAAACTCACACCTCTACGCCAACGGCGATACTAAGACCGGGCTGTTCGAGTTTGTGTCTCAAATCGAAGGGCGTGAAATTACCATATCCAAGTCAGAGAAGCAGAAAAATGAGACCGCCATGCAGGACAATTCGAAGGCACAGGAATGCGATGACAGGTCTCTACGGGCCAAGTGTCACTGCGAAGGGGTATCATTCACCATCTCCCGGCCTGGTCGGGATTTTGTTCAAGATCCTGCAAATCGTAAATGGGTTTTGGAAGGGAAAGAAGACAAGTGGCTAGGTGCATTGGATGTGTGTGATGATTGCCGGTTGGTCAGTGGAGCGAATGTCGCAGCTTGGATGTTCATTCCAGTGAGTCATATATCGCCTCCTCCGCCAGGAAACTTACTCATTGGGTCCTCAAAACGCTATTCATCGAGTGATGGGGTGGTGAGGACGTTTTGTGGGACATGTGGTGCTATGGTCTTCTATTCTTGTAATGATCGCCCGGGAATAGTGGACGTTGCAGTTGGTATCTTGCGGGACCCGAAATCCGTGCTCGCGGAGAGCTGGGTCGTTTGGAGAACTGGGAGAATTGCTTATCTCGAAGATGGTTTACGATATAATGGAGAGTTTACAAAGTCTCTAGATGAGGGGCTGAAGAAGTGGGGAAAGGAAAGGTATGGGAAATTGGAGTATTTTAAAGTAGGGTAGCTTGTGATAAATGCTATATCACTTATGCACATGAGACTGGAGTATGGATTGCCTTAACGTAGATGCCTCAGTCCGTCAATTTTCTTAACTACTGACGCCCTAGCAGTACCAGACTCCCAGAATGATGGCTTGTAGCCAAGTGACCGACCACCCAAGAAAGATGTCTCTAAAAAGATTACACTTTTCAACTCTCTTTATAGTGACTATGTGATATACCCATGGCAATACAACACAGCTGAAGCCTTCTTGGCACAACATTCACACGGACATCCCACCGCAGCTTCGAGTCCCACATGAACCGGGTAGGCTGCAGCTAGTCCATACAACTGTCATCAATGAAACAGGTTCTGAGTTCCGAGGCAGCGTGTCTTCAACGAATCTCGTCTTTTCCTGAGCTCCCAGACGCTCTAATGCCTTACTTACCCAGCTGACGATCATCCCGGCCAATCAGGAACAGAAGCTTTGTCGGCTGCATTTTCCCTCTGCAAAAACTTGCATATTATGCATAGCAGCCACAGCTGAAGACGTTAGTTTCACTGTGAAAAGATGGGCTGATGGCCCAAGATTTCCTCTTTTGGCGTGGTACGCATTTTGTTCAAATTTCTATTCGTACAATGAAACGCGGGGGGTAGAAGCTGATGTCGAGCTGAGAGTGAGCTCAGCTAGCCTCTCAAACATGAACGATAATACATGATATGACGATGTGAGCTGAATAGAGGATGTTTGTGACGCACCTTGGTCAGAAACATTCTGTAGTACATATAAGTACGCACAATATCCACGAAGAACGGATATCGAAACGATCCAAGTCGATCAATACCCGCTCAAAGTCCTAAAAAAAAAAAATCCAAACTTTATTTCCGTGTTTCCTAGGCTATTGCCACATCTTCTGCCCTAGAGATATTCCTTTCTTGCTCTGTGAATACCACCATTTGCATATCATGGCTATCAAAACCAAGCACATCCCCATTCTCCCACGTCCAAAATGGCTCGACGCGGCAGGAATGGGCAAAGGCATTGACCATGACCGCCAGCATCTGAGCATCGTCCTTGCCGCTGGCCAAGCTATCAAGGCTCGTCAAACCAATACTGAATTCACTGGCGAGCTCACTCTACGCTTGCTGAATGACGATAATCAAACGGAGGCTTCCAAGAAAGTGGGCGGCGACTGGACCGAGCTGAGTGCGGGTGTTGTCTCTGTACCTTTCATCGACACGCCGTATACCGAGGCCTCAAATACCGCTGTGGAGCCTATTGTTGAATATGAATATCCGGACGGCTCAAAGCAACTGCCTGTTTATCGCAAGGGACAAAGCCAGACCGACTTCTTCAATCATTGGGATAATCAGGGGTCGGAGTTCGCGCTTCTGGACTCCAGCTACACACAAGTTCTCGTACCCGTGGTTGATAAAGAGGCGCTGAGACATCCGCAGGAGGTGGATGATATTGACGGGTTGATCGGATACTATGAATCAGTTTTCTCGTTTTACAATGCCTTAGCCGGGCTATCATTTGAACCAGAGCGTCCTTCTGATCTGAATAGTACCAATCGTTACTTCATGAAGGCTGATAAACACGGAGCTGGCGGAGCGTATTACGGCCAGAACTGGACCGCAGCGTCGACCGATGCAATCAAGGAGTGGTGGTTGCTGCCGTCTGCGAGCAACTGGGGCAATCTCCACGAGATCGGACACGGATATCAGATGTCGTTCCGGAATGACCGATATTTCTGGAACGGGGAAGTATCCAACAACGTTTATGCCGCTCTATACCAGAGCGCCTACCTAGGTGACCGCAAGTATCAGGAAGGTTGGCTCTATAACTATGGCAAGCAAGCACAAGTTGAGCAAGGTATAATTGATGACATCACATCGCACAAGTCTCTCAATGACTGGGATCTTCGCGCGAAGCTATACTTCCTCGTCTTGATGGTGGAAAAGGCAGGTGCCGACTCCTTTGCTGACTTCAACCAGCAATATCGCCTGGTGAGCAACCAACCAAATTTCGATTCCACTGATCATTTGCTTCTGGATATGCTCTCTGAGAGCTTCTCCCGTATTGGACACATTGATGTGACGCCGTTTGTGGAGCTATGCAATGGATACATCTCGCCAGTACAGCGTGAGCTCAACCATTTTGGCCAGGGCAGAGCCGTTTATCCGCTAAATCAGCTTGTGGATGGAGATACCTTGACGAAGCTCCAGGAGCAACTGAAATTGCAAAGCCCTCTCACCTTAGTCAATGTCTCGCAATTGCTCGCTAGTGGGATCAAAGGTGATGTCACCCTCGAGCTCAAGATCGACGACTTCAGCCAAATTTACGGGAAGACTATTACAGTGCTGGACGGCTCCCGCTATATCCGCCAGCTCCCTATTGAGACCGAGAATATAGCCCTTGGAGCTCTGCCGATCGGTGTATATACTTTGCGTCTCCCACTGGGACGAAACAGTAAATATCAGGTGGATCAACCCTATCTTGTTGTCAGGCCTGGATCAGCTCAGGTGCTAGTGAACTTTGTCCCACAAACTGGGTCTCAGGTGACCAACCAAGAGATCAAACTGCTAGGCCTCGGGGACGATTTGTTCAGCACCATACTAGTCGACCAAGCAAATCATGTCGTCCAAGTAGCTGTGACTAGCAAAGATCCCCATTCCTACTTTGGCAACGAAACATACGCAGAAGTCGTCATTAAAGATGACACCGGCAAGGAGCAGTTCTGCGCAACGATGCCAGGAGTTGGGGCAACACTACGTGATGAGAAAATACCCTTCAAGCCGGGCTACACCCTCGAGGTCTACCATGCGGAGCCCAGTCACCGCATTCAGCTGAGACCAGACTTTGACGGAGTGATCGATCACAGCCAAAAGACGAATATCTTCGAGATAACTTCCAGTGGTCTGAAGAATCAGTCACTCAATAACGACCCACTGGCTGCCTTGTTAGCGCGGATACAAGCGGCAGCAACTGCGCTGCGGAGTCACCCTACTCTATTACACGCTGATTGTCCCAGCAAGGTGGATATTTGGCTCGCTATCGACCAGTTTACCGGCTCTCAACGTGAGGATCTGCTGAAACAATATTCCGATTGCATACCATCTGACAATAATGGACCCAGTGAAGGGCTCGGCAATTCCTTCACAGCTGCATTCAAAGGCATCGGGGACTGGCAGTTCCTGACGGCAGAGTTAGACCTAGTTGGTAGGAAGCTGACTGTAGCTTTAAGGGATGGTGTGGCTCATCACTATTTCAACGACACGTACGCCTCCTTGCAGGTTCTAGATGCTGATGGTAACGAGCTGTTGAATCTGGATGTTAAGGGCAGCACATCTCAGACGGCAAAAAGCTGGACTTTGCCTATTTCTGGATACGGGGGAGAGGTGCTCAACATCCGTCATGAGGAAGCGCCGACCCGCCTGTTCATTAACAACAACATGCGAGACCTTCGCTTGTCTGATCGTGAAACAAGGCAGAACTACCGCATCACCTCCACAGGACTCGAGCTGACTACCAAAACCTGACTCTGGGGGCAAAGGTCGTCTGATCTTTGGGTCTTGCCAGTGGGAATATGGTGCAAGGATGCAATATCTCCGATTAGCCTAGTGACTTTCCATTTGCCTTTCCACAGCCTGTGCAGTCATTTTCTATAAAGTAGAGGGTTAGCTAAGCGAGAAGCTGATGGCATTGCTCAATCAAAATCTGTTGGTGGAGATATGAATCATTTGAAGCTCTAGCAAGACAAGGCGCTTTTTGAAACTTCTGTGTCTTGTAGATAGAAGTCTAGGGCTTTATTCCATACGATAGATGTTTGTTGTGTTGCTTGGTTTCCGCTATTGATAATCATAGCATTGGATATACGGAACTTTTATTTGTGAATTTCCCTTGGGTGTGCTATCTTTTGAACTGGTAGAAAAGAATATTTCCCTTAGTATACTACATCAATAGTGGATTTAGTACATCGGGCAAAGTATTCAAATAACCTATAATAGTCGAGATATGAATAAATAATGGCTTATCTCCAATATGCTGCAAATATGTCATTGACGATCATAACTTGGGCACTTTGCCCTAGCTTGTTATGTACGTATCGTTAGTTCGGGCTCGATCACTGTAATAAGGACTAATGCTATTGGCGAGTATGATGTTATCTAGCGACTAAACGACTTGGCATCTGCATAGAGCCACACTCCGGATGGGGATATAATGTTGCTAAAAACAAGAGTTGTATACGAGAGAATCAGCCGATTCCAATTTTTGGGAACTGTTAATTAATGTATGACCCTAAAAAAAGCCAATACTGAACATTGGAGGACGTCTAGTAAGCAACTACTTGTACCATTGCTTCTATCTCGCTCAGTAAAATAAAGGATTGATGTTATATTCCAGTGTATATCTAATTGTGTACCTCGACCTCCACTTGACCTAAACTCTTAAGCTCACCAATAGCAGCGTCGTCCAACCTAATGTTAACCGTCAGTTTATAGTAATACTTAAAGCTTCAAGCTCTCCTTTGCTAATTTTCCCTGATTCCCCCCCCCCCTCCTTTATAAGTTCATTACTTACTGTGGAAGGATTATTATTGGAGGCATCTCGCTAAGTACTCGGTATTCTCCTCGCTGAATGCCATTGCGTTCAAGGATCCTATATTATAATATCAATAAAGAGCTTCCGCAGAGGCCCTAGGTACCACAAATAAACTTACATATGGGCAGGGGAGGAGTCATTATAAAATAGATCAGGATCTTCAAATCTAACGACGACCTAATCAAGACATATCAGTATTAAACCCTGAAGAAGTTATCTATTTTCGTAATGTTTTATAACATACAGGCATTTTGGAGAGGTCTTTCAATGTTTGTAGGAGATGGCTGAAAGAGATTTCGAGAGAGGACGGACTCAACGAGAAATAGATAGTTACTTATACTAACGTTGGGAAGCGAGATCGGCAGTTGCTTGCGTCATGCTTTCAGCTCCTGTACAACAGAATATGGACATACTATGTATGCCCCTCATTTCAGCTCAGCCAGGATCAGTACTATAGCCAATGAAAACATCTACGGCTGCCATCTATCTCCCCGGACAAATCGATCTGTGCGCGCGAAGTGGGGGTTGCTTCAGCTCTTGGCATATACACATGTGTTGTCAACCTGTAGATCATACTACATACCGAGTATGACCACCGCCAGCCAGCCAGCCGCTCGTCCTGATTATTGAAGGGCACTTAGGACGCTAGAAATAAGAGGACAAATCCCTACTTCTCGACCAAATAGACCAATAATAATTATATACTGTAGTATTAATAAAAGCCAGTTGTATTCTGGAGTCACTCATGTGATCCGAGCTACACCGCATTTACACCAGTCTATAAAACTGAGATGGTAAATAGCCATGGACATTACCAGACAGAAATAGAACCTTATTACGAAGCCTATAAGCTACAAGCCTCCTCATATTCAGTTCATCGTTGCACCCTTAATATTTATTAATGTGCAAGTCACTAGGATCACGTGGTCTCGTATAGATTCATAACATTTATCATCTTCAACTCTCCAGCCATGTCGGTGCAGTATAACCAGACTGGCGCCAACTATAATCACATCAAGAAGCGATCCCGCGATATGGCCCAAACCCGCGACGATCCTTGCGTATCTTGGCAACATCGAGGGACAGGAGGTACTCGGCCTAGGCTGCGGTACAGGTAACTTTTCACAGAAAGCAGTCGATCAGGGAGCACGACAAGTGGTGGGGCTAGACATCTCCCCCGTTATGGTCCAAGTCGCGCAATGTGAGCATGAATGGGACAGTCGCTTTGAGTTTCGTGCCACAGATTGCAGCAAACCCTTGGAGGTCGGAAAGTTCGACCTTGTCCTCGCCATGTTGTTTCTCAACTATGCCCCTACTGCCGAGGATCAATTAAAGATGTGGCAGAACATCATGTGTAACTTGAAGCCCGGTGGTAGATGCATCGGAATCGTGCCTAATTTCGACTGGCTCAACAGTCTGTCTGTTGCTGCTGCTGACGATGATGATGATGACGATGATGATGATGATGATGATGATGATGATGATGATGATGATGATGGAGGACGTTCAGCTGATGATATGCAGTTCCTCGAGCATGTTCCAGATGGCGTGCAATACCGTTTTCTTTTTTGGGGATCAGGATCAGACTGTCTCGTTTGATGCCTACCTGCTTCGACGGCAAGTGTACAACTCTTGTGCTCATGAAGCGGGATTCATTGACCTGCAATGAAGGTATTGGTGCTGAGTGGACGATATTCAGTATTAGCTATGTAGTCTAGCAATCTCGGTCTAAAGCTAAAGGGGTCACAACTAGCGGTAAATAGAAGTCCGATACCTCCGATCTACTATAGACCCATCAAAATTGTAACGGCAGATGCCTCAGGCAACAATAACCCCACTGCACGCGAGACGCCTTAGGCACTATATAGATTTTGATTACGCAGAGGATTCAGATCCTCAAGCGATTCGATCTGTTCCAACTCATATACATTCTCCCCAGTAATCCAAACACGATATATCTTCCTCGTACTATCTATCTTGTAGCCCGTTGGCCTACTACGCCGGTACTTCTTCTGAGCTCAGAAATGACGGCGTCTACCACATGTTCAATATTACACCTTGGGATCTGGGAGAGTAGACCTTGAGCAGCACAAATTAGACTTCAATCGCCAGTTAATGGTAGCAGTCTAGTGTACCAATATTATGCAAACGCACTTCAGTGAAACTACATAGCTCGACACCCTCAAGAACAACTCAGGAACAGTTCACCTTTTCACTTTTGCGAGGTCGTGTGCTAGGACCGCCATTTTAGTCTAGGTTGATCAGTTGGTATCTCTATACTCGCCTTTGAGTGGAATATAAATTGCCGAGGGAGGCTTTGGTCCAGGGCGCTGGGAAAGATAGTCCAATTTCTACCGTCTAGATTTGAAAGAAGCAACTCCCTAGAGGTCAAAGATATATGGTCCCAACTGCTGGGTTTAATTATGGCATTCGATCTACATCGAGGGGTCTTGGTATGGGCAGGCTAAAGACTTCCATTCCGTTTGCCCTATTGCCCCATTTCTTAGAAGCATGTTTCGAGGTGGATGCTCAGGCCGCTTTATAAGGGGCGGTTACAAAGCAATTGGTGGAGCTGATCTCTACACTGTAGCACAAAATTCAAACTCCATAAAGAAAGGCGGAAAATTTTACTTCTCGTCTCAGGGGCAATCTCAACTGGGCGGGTCCAGTTTACTATGACGAAGACAGTGAAATTCAGATAAATTGTGTAGCGCCTACACAAGACAATTATGGACTTGATAACTTCCTGATTCTTTCATTTTTTATAAAAAAAAAAATAAAAATAAAAATAAAATAAAATAAATAATAATAATAATAAAATTCATTCCTTCATCTCTTCCTACAGCGCTATGTGCCTATCCTTTCTCGTCCGACAGGGTGCAAAGATGTACTGGCCGTTACTTCTCTTTTCCTCATTGCTGGTAGCCTTCGCTGCTAGTCAAAGCAACGACATGATTGCCGCGAAAAGAGGCATACCCGCGTTCCCTGGCGAAAGAAAATATCTGCTGGACCAGTGTCCTGAACTCGAGATAATGGGTGCAAGACCTCAAAGAGGTCAAATTCGACCACCTTCACAAAGTCTAGCGTTCGATTGCAAGAATCCCGACAAGAAGGGTAAATTTCAGACAGGAGCTTTGTGTCTGAACAAATGTCTTGGTTGGAATGAAAGAACGCATCAATTTACCGCACAAAAGAAGTATGTCTACGCCCTCTAATTGGTATAAGCAATAACTAACAGCCCTAGTGGATATGGACTTGCGGAATGGAATGGGAATTGTTGGGACTGTCGTTTCGAGAGAAAGGAAAAGGGCGACAACCTTTTCTGTTACTGCGCGAATGTGCCCGAGCCTAAACCGCATCGCGACTTTGCCGTAGCTGTCAACATGAGTCTGAGGACATTCAATCTAGGTAAGCCTATGGTGTGATAAAAGTTAAGCTGTTGTGTTAACTGGCGGTTGTAGGCAGTGTTGTAGAGCTTGGTAACGGGGGTGTTCTACGATGCCATGGGGAATATGGTCATTGTTGAAAGGTGATGAGCATTTCGGATTTGGTCTCTTGCCTAGGGAGAGGGTATAGTAACGGGTCATTGCTAATGAAACCTGGTTTAAATTTGAGATTACATATCGATCATTCTCTATATAATTTAAACCTGCCTTGATTGACTTCTCCAATTTTTAGTCTAATTGACATATCTATAGTTCTTCTCAAGCATACCACAGACTACCCATCGTAGAGAGCACACTAAGCTATGCCTAATCAAAACCGCACAGAAAAAGTTCGTTAGCTGCCTACCTTGAATATCTCAGTTACCCTTCTAACGCTCAAAAGGTATAATAGTGTCTGGAGTCAATCATATAGTAGGAACAGAATCAGTCCTACTATGGCTCACAAAGCAATGCTGTAGTTTCATAGGTCACACATCTGAAAAACCAAGAACAGCATATAGCACACTGGGGCCATCAGTGCAACATGCCCCGGCTACCGACACTTAGAAGCTAAGACTGAGTCAATTAATAGTGCAGCTGTGCGACACCCAAGCACATAGTACTACCATTGATTGAGCTACCGTGCCAGGATAATAGGTAGCCTACTACAAATCTAACTTTACTCAAATAGAAGATGATCGAGGCATTCTTAATTTGAGCGATCCATATGCACTCGCATCGTTAATTCGCATCCATATTATTGCTTTTAGCTGGTTGAAACATTCAAGGGTTGTGGGAAAAGCCATGGGATGGTGTAGCTAATACGAAAATGTGAAGTTATAGAGGAGCCAAGTCAACTATCAATGGTTGCCAAAGCTTCTCACTCTTTATCCAATAGCGTTTTTGTGGCTAGGACGTAGCAAGTGTGACTATATTGAACCTATGGATTTAGAAACCATCCAAAAGACAAATTTTGACGTCAATGCTAATCCAGCCTGATATTTCTCATGCTCAAGACGTAAGCAGACAAGTTTCTAATTGGCCTATATACCCCGGCTTGCCATCACGACTAGGCTTCAATTAGCTTACCTGTATTAATCCGTCTATGTTGTTTATTCAGAGCAAGCGACTATGGCCGAGAAATGATGACTCTTTAGGCATATTACAGGAAGCTCGCATCCTATCATTTGTCAATTTTCCAAGAAGCTATAGGTAGGACGTAATACGTAGTTTGTACATATCTGATGTGCTATTAATATGCATTGTCATCAAAGATCTTGCACAAAGTGCATAGGGAGTCTGCTTAAGTGGTATCCATATCGCGTGGTTGATCAAGGCATGATGTTACATCTAAGAGCACGCCCTGCAGGGTTATTTGAAATTCAAAATTATCTCCACCGAAGCTACCTTCTGCTGACAAGAGGAGATATCAAAATAGGTGCACACGTAATCTAGTCCAGAATTCGTGCAACACCAACAGGGATTCAATGACAATTGACCCAGCATCCGGCGTCCGGCACAATGAGCAGTCCAGATGCTAGCGGACCTAAATAATGCTTATTTGAATATAGACTGATCTACTAGGATGCTGCTTCATACTACTTGGTTGATCGTATTCCATTATAGCCTTAGTGAATATTTAAATGGCGAGGAAGCCCGTTGAGCTCTGCAGTTATCCAACAATCAACATCGTCTAATCTCAAACAAACGACATTGTCAAGCTTTACCTGCTACGAACCCCACAAGGTCCACCGCATTGTAAGTCTATGACTATCAGTGTACTATGTACATCATCTAACCAACCCTTCACCCAGCATAATGCAGTTCATATACACTGCCATCGCTCTCGCCCTGGCTACCGCCATTTCGGCCCAAAACAACTACCTCATTATGAGCTGCAACACCAGCCCCATCCCCTGCCAGGATGTCGGTATCCCCTGCAACAATGAAAACACCCCCTGGGCCTGTCCTGTCAGTAGTGACAGGGTGGAGCTCTTCTCAGCCAACTGCCGTAACATCAATGGGTATCCCGAGGTTCGCGGATCCGGCTTCACTTTGAGTGACGCTCGACAGACAGCCGGATGCAAGGTCTAAAAAGGCAGCATTCAATGACACGGCACGGTGGTGATGGTATTATTTGGTTCAAATATGTTGAGAAACTCATATCGTTCTTTAAATTGTGATAGCTGGAGGATTTCGATAGTCAATTTACCCAAATATTGTTCCCCTCGGATTTAGATTTGCACATCGATAGCGAAGCTGTCATCTTGAAGTAGACTAATGTCAACCATAAAATACCGCTATCTACGGTTTTGGCCTAACCGCCTGCCTACCCGATAAGTCAGCTGAATTTACCGTCAAAAAGACCCTTTTAGTTTTAGGCCTAGTTTACTAGGTAATACCGAATATCATTCTTTCAATAGCTAATATCTTTCTTCATGGCGTACACTCCCTTGTACTATGCCTGGGGTTCGCTTGGACTTGTTATTCCAGTTACTGTACAGATATAAGAACCTGATAGCCACTCTCCATACTCTCAACACTACTATGATTCAATCTCAAGTATATCAGACCTCCTAGCATGGTAAGGCTCTTAGTAAGTTTATCCGAGGCTACCCCAAGTTTAGTCTCCAATGAGTCACGTATCCGTGCACCGATAGACAGACCCACTTGAAAATAAACATCCAACGACAAAAAGATCGCGACCTAATTCCAAACCGAACACTTACATATCATCAACTCACCTCTTGCCCGGAACTCGCACAATCAAAATGGCAGCTCCAATAACCCCTCAACAGTCAATACACCCATACCACACCTCCTCGACATTAGAGCCCTACAAAATCCCCACCAACACCTACATATCCCAAAACGCTTCCGACCATCTCGTCGGCGTCCTCAGCGCATCTGTAATAATCCACAGAGGTCGAGTATTGCTTATACAACGTATTGCAGACGACGACTGGCCCAATGTCTGGGAAGTACCCGGTGGCGCGGCAAACGATAACGAAACAATCCTTGATTGCGCTGTGCGCGAGCTCCGGGAGGAAACTTGCCTCCGTGCATCGGCTGTCACTGCTATGCTGGGCGAGTTTGAGTGGCTTGACAGCAATTCTGGGCCGAGTGACCTTCCTGGAAGGGGGAAGTGGAAGGTATTTATTTTCAGGGTGGTGGTTGATGGATCGGATCAAGAGCAGTTAGAAGTAACGATCGATCCTAAGGAGCATAAAGCTCATCTATGGGTTACTGAAGAGGAAGTTAGGAGTGATTTATGTGGGGATGTGAGGTTGGAATGGATTTCTTTGAATCAGAAGAAGACGATACTAGAGGCATTTAAACATACTGGAGCTGCTCATCATGGTCTCTAGTTTACTCTGGTGTTCATCTTGCGAAGCTGGCTCACTTAGAAGTATCGTGAAGCATCTCATCTCCTAGAATTCATGCAAATTGAACAAGTATCTCCCAACATCGCATTAGGGACTATATTATTAAGCGAGTTCATATGTTCAATCAGGTTCGTTTATTTGATAGGGGCTGTATTACCGTCGCGTCCCGGAGTACCAGAATTGGTGCGAATGAGAGGCAATAGCGATGCAACTTTATGGGTAAACAATGCCACAGTCTAAGTACTATTCAAGTGAGGCTGTAGGGACGGTGATATTCCGTTATCAGATGTATACTTACTGCCTTAGCATGTAATCTAAATGCGAAAGCATTCAATGGGGGCTAGGGTTACCCAATTCAACCAGGGCACAAAACTCAGTGGCGATAGCGAGTTGTCTTGGCGCAAGTTTTGATTGGAAATTGAATAGACATGCTCTATACTGTTCTTCAGGTATACTGGGCTAGAATGCAGGGGAGTTATACGGTTCTATCATCTCTCGGATTCTAAACGTGCCGTACCACTTATGCCCCACTGGCAATTTGCCAAGAGCCCTTCCACAAAGAACTAAAGTTGAATGGGATAGAGAGGCATGGGTTATGATTCGATGTCTTCATGGCGCTAAAAGAGACTAAGTGTCACCTAACAGTCAGCACTCATAAGGCAGCACTGCAATTCTTAGCTCAATTCAGGACTGATTGCAAATGCTCAGAAACATCCTAGGCTCGTACTCCGACAAGGGTTGTCACTGCAGTTTTAGCGCGCCGGAGGGCTTGAGAGTCCCCAGGGTCAGCCTCGTCTGGGCAACCACGTGTCACTTCATCATAAGGCCAGAGTACTGCAATCCTAGAGCCTAGAACACGTCGGACCCAATTCCTGTAATGTGCGGCTTAAAGCACTGCACTTTTAGCACTCCGGAGGGGACGTTGGGAGAGGCAGTTCAGCTTATCTAAGCCCTACGACACAACCCTAGTTCAGCCTCGTCTTCAGCAGTGAGATCAGTGCTCTCCACAGATATACAGATCTGCTTTTCTTTTCTCTTATTTCAACTCAGGTGCTGGTCAATCCAACCAAAAGATTCATGGGACTCAGATTCCATCATCACAGACAGATGCTTTGATTGAGCAAGCAACGAAGATGTCTCTCAGACGACTTCTCAACCCGACGGACGATGACACTGGAGACGAATGGACAGATGACATGCGACGCGTTCGTCCGAGGCTCGAAGGGCCTGTTGACTGGTAGTCGATGGCCACACTATCTTATCGTAGTTCAATGTTGATAAGACTAGGGCTCTGAACCCAACAGAGGACCACCTCGACCCGATTGTCTATCCAACAGATATGTCGTTCAACCATTCCTTCGGTGACCAAGAAATGATGTTTGTAAATCAGCATGCGCCAGTTCCGGGTCTAGACGCCATTTCCTTTGGTCAAGCCTCCTTTTTGCAGCCGGTGCCGAATGATGTAGGGTTGAGTGGTACATCCACGACATCAAAACCTGGGATCGAATTTATCGATGAGTCAGGGGTTAACGCCGATGTTTCGATGGTGGATGCCGCGTCCAATGGGCAGGAAGAGCAGGTCTGCTACGGAATGGTTGGTCAAGATCCCCTGCATAAGCATCAAAGATTAACGTATACCCAGCTCGTCCATGAGAAGGTTAAATTGGTAGGAAAAGGCCAAGAACTAGAAACTAAAATACTAGCACTTAAAGAGAATAACCAGCATGTTCAAACCCTTGACATCCAGTTGTCTGGCGACGGGCCACTCTCTCTCAGGTTTCCAGACGGCACGGATTTAGGCTATCTATCCAAAAAGATGGAGCAGGCTTTGCAAGGGCTTATTGGCTTGCCCTTATTCGAGATCGATGCTCTCACCAATCTCAATTCTCTCATCGAGTCCCTGCGTCGTGCTGGGAAGCCAGCTGATGCGGCGATCCGCGTGAGCGTCAACGTTTATGGAAGAGAATCTGATCGCGATGAAGTAGGGAGAGAACTTTCAAAGAAGGATCTCTTCCTCCAACACCCGGATGACTGTCGTGTGGGGGTCAGATATGACAATCCACATATCCTACACTTAGATGGGATGGATGAGACAGATACCGATGAAGAGGATGAAGAAGATGTTACTGAGGTGGAAGTGTCTGAAACTACGCCCGAGCAGGAAGAGGGCCTCAGGGAGACCCTTGACGAGGTCTTTAATTCGCTAACACGGGGTGATCACCTTAGACAACTAGGAGGGGGCGAGACATTGAATAGGACCTTATATCAGTCAGTTACCAATTATAGTGTACCTTCTGCGATACACTGGGATCTAATCTGTGCAATAAATTAGGCATCAAGGAGAAGCGTTGGATTTCATGATACAACGAGAGACGGGTGCTATCCCAGATGAATATCGCCTCTGGCAACCAAATCCTATGGGCCGGGGGCAACTGTATGGAGATTCCCTTCAACTATGAAGCATTGGCGCTGACCGGGACTAGGTATTGCCATGTCATCACCGGCAACGAGCAGCAAGAGCAACCCGACGAGAGCGGTGGAGGGATCCTTGCTGACGAGATGGGCATGGGAAAGTCTCTTACTACACTCGTTCTTATGGCAAAGACATTGCGAGAAGCACGCCAATGGGTCGAGGGTGTAAAGGCTATACCAGGAGCTTCCCTTGCTGAGACGCCTACTCGAGCGACGTTGGTCATTGTTCCCTCGCGCGGTAAGAATCCTTGCGCCTAGATCATATGGGTAGGCTAACTTCTAAAGTTTTGATTAACACCTGGGAGAGAGAAATTGACGAGTAAGAAACCACTCAGCGTGTTCCTCCAGGAGGCTAACAATATTCCAGTCACCTAAATGCTGGCATGAAGATGATGAGATACCATGGGCGATCACGGAAGGAGCTTATTAGCAATATCGACCGATATGATATTGTCATTACCACGTATAACACTCTTGCAAAGGAACATGACGCAAAGGTCCTCGGAAAGGGGCAGAGCCCGCTACATGACTTTGCGTGGTATCGAGTTGTCCTGGATGAAGGTTGGTCATTTTACTTGGACAATATGTGCATGAAGCGATGATATTAACCCGGTTCAGCCCACATGATACGTCGCCGTAGCACAACCTTCCACAGGGCTGTGGTCGAACTGAGAGCCAAATCACGCTGGTGTCTCTCGGGAACTCCTATCCAGAACAGCTTAGGCGATCTAGGCTCACTATTGGCTTTTATACAACTAAAGCCTTTCCACGATCCCAGAAACTTCAGTCATTGGATAGCTAACCCTTTTGGAGTCAGGGCAACCAAGCGGAAAGCAATCGAAAGGCTCACACTTCTTCTGGAAGCTATCTGTCTCCGGCGAACAATAGAGCGCGTTGATTTGCCAGGTCAACGATCAGAGATAAGCCTTGTGCAATTTACTCCTGAAGAACGTGCCGAGTATGAGCTTACAATCAAAGACATGACGCGATTCATCCACCAAAAAGCTGGGGAATACAATCAGCAAGCAGAGACATTTGGCATGTTCCAGGTCTTTCTGCAGCTAAGGAGCTTTTGTAATCATGGAACATATCAGCCCCGGTTCTCTTGGGCTAAGAGGAACCTACTGGAGGATGAATTGGACCCTGTCTGTTCGATGACGAGAGATAGCTTGAACCGCTGTTCTGGGTGCCGACAGCCTTTGCCGGTCATACCACACGACAGCCGGCCAAATTATGTAGAAAGTTGCAAGCATGTCCTGTGTGATGAATGTTCTTGGGGCAGCAGCATTCAGTCAGACCTGGAGGAGAGGCGCCACTGCCCACTATGTCAGTCTCTTAGGGGGGCACGTTATCGTGGCCATATGCCCGCCGCGTCAAGTCAGAGAAACCGAAACGATACAGATCATCTGAACGCGGACGGGTTCTCATCCAAGATGAGGGCGCTTATATCCGACGTGCAGAGGGATATAGGCACAACCAAAAGGTATGGGTGATTAGTACAAGCCTTTCTTACCACTGACAACGGTGCAGTATCATTTTCTCATGCTGGACACGGACCCTTGACCTGATAGCAAAGCATCTGAAAGCCTCACGTATAGAATTTGAGCGCATTGACGGAAAAATATCAACGTCTCAGCGCCAAAAGATTCTTGACAAATTCGATGGCACCAGGACGGTCCCCGTGTTAATCATGACAACAGGCACAGGAGCTTTCGGGTACGGCCTGCTTTCTGGTATTATCCTAGTTATGAAGAATCTCTGGCTGAAGTGAAGCAGGCTGAATCTAAAATCCGTCAATCGGGTATTTATCGTCGAGCCACAATGGAATCCTAGTGTTGAGAGCCAGGCTATTGCACGCGCAATTCGCCTTGGCCAGGAGCAGCAAGTCCAAGTCACCCGTTACCGTGTTGAGAACAGTATTGAGGAGGTCCGTTAAATCTCTTGTATTAAGGCTTAGTCAATTATGAGCTGACCGTACCATTCCTACAGGTCATGTGCTCTCAACAAACGCAAAAATTGAAGATCAGTCAAATGGACTTCAAAAAGGACTTGGAAGCATCTGCTGCTGGTGATGAAGGAACCTCTGATGATCCTTCAGACATTCATTGAAAGGTGTACCGTGGCGACGATGTCTCAGCTCACTGCCCTTCAGCTCCAAAGCAAATCGTTAGCCGGGCACCATTCGGTGGATAAACGTGCGTAACCTGTTAGTGACAGATCTACAATGATAATTGCGTTAGATGATACACTCCAATTTCATATTCTCGCTATGATACACACGCAATAAATGTATAACCCCGGACAGACACGCCTGCACCAGGTCCGGTCAACCCAGGGAATCTGATCGATTAAGCATCTTTAATGGTCAAGAAATGTAGAAAAACTAGAGCAATCGAACGACGTCCACTCCCACTGTCTACACTACCAGGCGTTCACATCGAAGTTTTCCTAGGCAAATGTTAAAATGAGACGAACTCCAGCAGAGAAGACAGATACTTACCTCAGAAAAGTAGGTCGTCACTACGGTCCGGTCAGAGAACTTCCTACCAGCAAGCGCCTTCAGCGCATTGGTTGTTGATTCCACCGAATCAAACTTGACGAAGATCTTGCCGACACCAGGAGACTGTCTGCTGCCGCCGGAGGGACGGGGAATCTTCAGTTCAACCACCTGACCATACTTCGAACACTCCTCGTGCACATCATCGCAGATTTCTATCGTCGTTAGCAAAGCACAATGACGGTGTAGGGTTAGTCCATACCATCGTAATCATCGTTGTCCATGAGCTCCTCTGGCGTCACCATATTCAATAACTGCAGCACACGGCTGGTCTCCAAATCTTGAGAAGTGGTCTTGGCAAACATCGACATCGCATTGACACCCATGTCGAGTCCGGCAGCCTGCGTTATTCCAATACTAGCGCGCAGAACCTTGAGATGCCTGTCACCCAATTCCATGCCGTTGAGTCCTTCCACGGCAATGCTCGTCGCATTCGGATCAGCGTACTCGCAGAATGCAATTCCCTAGCTAAATCAGTCACAGCCCATCGTCCGTTGTTAAATAGAACTTACCCTAGACTCCTCCGTTGAGCCATCCTTAACCAAAACAAAAGACTTCAACTCGCCGAAGGACTTGAGAAGCATCGTGACAGGCTCTTCCGGGATGTAATGAGGGATATTTGACACACAAATCTTATTGGGCGAGTCGGGGACTTCGTTCAACAATACCCCCTCTTGGTATTCCTGCTCATTGCCACTTGGAACAATGTAATCCTTGGGCCGCCGTACTTCAAGGCCCTGGGGTGCTCCGTTCGCCGCTCCGTTGCCAGCAGCTTCATTCTCATCCATCGTAATTCCATCGAAAGCAAGTGCGACTGTAGCATCGTTGGGCGTCTTGAATTCCAGGAGTGCAAAGCTACGATCATCGGACACTTGGGCTGAAATACAAGGATCCACGCTGTGAATGACATTCAGACCGTTGAGCTGAAGGTTGAAGAAAGACAGCAAGTTCTCTCCCGTTGCGCTCGCAGGAAGATTGGATACAAACAAGCGCTTGGCCTGGCGGGAGTTGGATGGTTTCAGAGAGGCGCTCTCTGCCGTTCCAGCACCGGGCTGGCTCATGAAAGCCTGCAGGCGACTAGGATCCATGGGTTGCTGTCGTGGGGCACCAGGAAGAGGGAACATGCCTGCAAAGTAAGTAAACCTTCTCTAACCAACACGAATCCACGGCATATGAAAGCAATCTCACCTGATAACTTGGCCTGCTCCGCAGTCACATTCTCGTAACCAGGAGGCTTAATATCCCACTGCGTCAGACGACGTTTCCGGTGCAGAACCGATTGTACTTCTGTCAAGTCGGGCGTCGCTTCCCTCTTCCGGGGAGGTGGTGACGCACTCCTCCGCCTTTCTCTCCTGTCGCCGCGGTCGCCACGTTCGCCGCGGTCGCGCTCACGGTCGCGGTCTCTGCCGTCTCGTCTAGGTCTTTCTTCGAACAAATCTCCCCGATCCCTGTCGCGTCGAGATGACCGGTCATCGAAGTCTCTGCGTCGGCGATCGCCGCGATCTCCGCCACGATCTCCGCCGCGGTCTCGGTCCCATTCACGATCATCCCTCCGACTGGAGTAGCGGTCCTCCCGTTCTCTGGCGCGATAGTCACGGCTCGACGAGTACGTATCTACTTCATATTCGCGTCGGGAACTTCTAGAGCTGTAGTGGGGGGATCTCGAACGTCTTCTATCTCCTCTGTCTCCTCTGTCTCCGCGCTCTCGTCGCTCGTCGCGCTGATGGGGCTTTCGTTAGTATGAAGTGTAGCGAGCATGACCACCATGAAGTACTCACGTAATAGTCCCTAGAGCGGCCAGAGTCTGCGACCATAATGATTAGATGACCATTCAATATACTAGTTAACAGTAGGAGTTGCATTGCAAGTACTGACCTCTGGACGAATACGTATCACCGTTCATACTGAGCTCAGGATTCGTTACTCCTTGCTGTTTCTGGTTGTGGATAAATGTATAAAAACAACAGCCCTCGAGGTATGCCTCTAGTCAAAATAAACGGGCAACAGGGCAGAGAACCAACAATCCAGGATGAGGGAGAGGGTGCTTGCACGACGGAGCTGCGCTGAGGAAAACTCCAGTCGTGACGATCGGCGAGCAGCCGCGGCGTCTAGAGTCGAAGCGGTTAGCGCGTGTGTCTGTGGAGCGACCGCCTTCTGTTTTCTACCAGGACTGGCAGAATCTTTATCTGCGCGCTGATATGATATGAATCTGAGTCTCTTTTTGAAGTTTCCAATTGATTCAACACGGTTATAATGACAGTCGGGGCGTTTTCAGAATGGCGCAGGCTACCAGTTAGTCTTAGCGAGCTATGCATCAACACGACGCTCCGTTGTGGGCAGTCATTCCGGTCAGCGCCGCCCCTTTTCCTCCTAACGTATCCCGCACATTGGCTAACTGATCTAGATGGCACAACGTACCTGACAGCGACGAATGGAGATGTGTTCTTCATGGTCGCCTCCTATCGCTGAAGCAGGACCCGACAGATCTATACTATAGAACCTACCTAACTCCGAAACCGACCAACTCACTCCCTCTCCCAACGCCACCTTCATCACATCCACCCTCTCGTGCCGAGTCGGACAAAGCTCTAGACCACCCCCAACCCGATAAAGATGACATCCTCCCTATCCTCACCCATTACTTCAATCTCGCTTCCAACCTCACATCCCTCTACTCCCATTGGTCCTCCAATGACCCCAACTTCAAGAAGAAAGCCCCTCAATTCACCGGAATCCGCATCCTTCGTCAAGACGCCTGGGAGGCTCTAGTCTCCTTCATCTGCAGCAGCAACAACAACATCGCGCGCATCTCCCAAATGGTCGAGAAGCTCTGCATCAATTATGGTCCCTTCATCGCCTCTATTGACGGCCGCGCGTACCATGATTTCCCACCACCCGAGGCCCTAACCGGCGATGATGTGGAGAGTCGACTGCGGAGTCTGGGGTTCGGATACCGTGCCAAATACATATACCAAACGGCAGTGATTGTCTCAACGCAGCGCAAGAAAGGCTGGTTAGACTCTTTGCGGAACCCTGAGTCACCCACTCTGGGGGTTGAGGCTGCGCCCGGCGGCGAGATGAGACCGGAAGGCCGAGAGGGGTATCGCGAGGCACATGAGAAGCTGCTCGAATTGCAGGGTGTAGGGCCCAAGGTTGCGGATTGTGTTTGTTTGATGGGGTTGGGCTGGGGGGAGTCTGTTCCTGTTGATACCCACGGTACTTTTCCCATCACTATGTCTTTTGTGAACGTTGTGGAATGCTAACTCATTACCAAACAGTTTGGCAAATAGCTCAGCGAGATTACAAGTTTGGTAAAGGTGCCCATAAATCGTTAACAAAGGCTACATATGACGCTGTGGGCAATCACTTTCGCAAACTTTGGGGACAGGAGGCTGGTTGGGCGCAAAGTGTTCTATTTACAGCTAATTTGAGAACATTCTCGGATCGGCTGGTTGCTTCGAAGAAGGAGGAAGTGGAAGTCAAGGTCAAGGACGAGTTGGATGAGAATCGCAAAGCTGAGGTTACTACGAAAGTCACTACTACTACAGCTGTAAGAGTGAAGAGGTCTGCAAGCGAAAGCAAGGTGAAGACCGAACCCAGCGATGAGAAGGGTGTGAAGGCCATTGTTGAGACGCAGACGACAAGACGGATGTCAAAGCGGCTTCGGAACCGCTAAACATTTCATTCGAGTTGTTTTATTCTTATAGAAGTATGAGAAAAGATTTACATATAGATGGCATAGAATGTACAAAGTATATGCACAGCTTTGATACACCCGAGTCCCATTCAACGCACTACTAGTAACCCCTACCGCGCCACAGTATTGTAGTGAACTGGTAGATGGATATATGAATAATCTCTTGAATCCGGGGCAGTTGACCAAACATGCCTAAGGTGCGTCTGTACGGGCTTACAAAGATTCGAAAAATCAACCCTATTCTTGTCTGGTGATGATGTTCAAAAGTCAGAATTGGCCCAAGCATGAGTATCATCGTCATAATATTCTTGACTTATACATAGCAACTACTACCCTAATTTTCGTGATATCAGGGAGTTTCGCCTATACGCTATGCCAAATCAGCTTTTGAACGTACGCAAAACTATTCTACAGACCGGACTCCAATATATAGGACAAGCCTCGTCACCTCAAAGCACAACAGACGCCAGTGAGACTATGCACGATAGCAGATTCGTCGATGAATAAAAAAAAAAAGAAAAGAAAAGAAAAGAAAAGAAAAAAGACTTCAAGGTAAACAGTCCAATGCGATATATACCCCGTCATCTGACCCATCAACGCCCTTAGTTCATGTCTCACACATATAGCCAGCATGCGCCTTCAGAGTATATCTCTTATATCATTCCACAGCATCGGTTATCAAGATGCAAATTTTTTTTTTTTATTATTCTCGGCATGTCACCAATGGAACGCAGACACCTTTGAATTTTTCACCTTCACGTCCCCAAAGCCATCGGAATTGTTCCCCATGCACGGTGCGTGGTAAAATATCAACTGAATCAATCTAGTTCGATATATCTGCTGTGGCTAGCCCAGTGTGAAACTATTATCAAAACATGTGCATCTTGTAGTGCATGTACGTCTGCAGAAAGACACAAGGAACCTCCATGGACAGGCCTGTTTGGTAAGTTTATACACCTTACAATCCTGGTAAAGATCCACGCCAATTAGAACCAGGGCTGGGAGATCGGTATCTGGGACGTATGGGATATAATCATGCCAATTCACTATAATCAGGATATCATATTGTAACTCCCATCTGCTGCTTACTTTGTGAAGGTGCTCGGTTTTTTTTTTTTTTTTTTTGAATTGCTAACTATCTTGAAGATACATGGCCCGGGTATCCTCACAGTCCTTGTGTTATTTCAAGTAGCAGTATGCTATGGGAGATGGAGAGTTGCCGATCTTCTGTAGATTCAGGAGATAGCTAGTCTTTATATAGATAATAAGAGCGTATTAGAGTAGCTTTTTAGTATATTTATAGAATTTCTCTATAGATAGTAGAATCTTATTCTAATACTAAATTATCATTAAGATTAGAGTTGATATTGGGTCAGATTCAGATCCAAAATCTAGAATCCACCACTGACCCGGCTCTGGGAATTGCGGGTTCGGGGCAGGTTTTCAGGGAACCTGATCAACTCTAATCTGGTATGATTTGTCAAATGACCAAGTAGGAAGAAATCGTCAATCATCCTGACTCAGGATCAGGGACTGCTCTTGTGTTTATGATGGAGCTATGTATAGAATCTTGTGGGTGACAATACGGGACGAAGTTGACAAGATATTATTTCCACGCAGCTAATTCGAAGAGCTATGCTCACTTAGGGACCAAAAGTCTTCTTTCGAGAAGCTTCCGTTTATGGGAGAATCCTCTTGCGAGGTATTGTCATGGCACGGCCCCGAGAAGAGCACGGGCGACATAGCAGGCCACACATTATATGAGCTAGCTCTTTGTGCTACGTTCATCCTGATGTACTCATTCGAAGTCTAGCACAGTTTTGAGGTAGCCCCAGAGGCAGCCAACGTAGCTGACAGGCGGTTCCTGGGTACGTAGCTGATGCTGGCCCCCATAACAACTGATTTTATTGGCTTAAACTGCTAGTAACCCTTGCCACAGGGCCGTGGGGACTCTCGCGAGGGTAGTTCTGATATCTAGTTGTACATTGGACTTTGGCATTCTGAGAGACCGACAATTATTCACATTCCAGTTCCCATATCAAAGTTGTCTAGCATCTCGTATTCCAGCCTTTGTATCTAATATCCCGCGCTATAGAGTAAGACACTGCTGGACAAATAACAGAGGAAAATGGAGAGGAGAGTAATATAGACTTGATAATAAATTAGAACGTAGTGTTTGTGTTGACGAATTAACGAATGGACAATACAGGCAAGGGATAGACTTATGGCGGTATAGGTCAGAAGTACCACAGTGCAAACTGCACATTCGTACGAATATTAGCCCTTCGAATAGAATTATTCGTAAAGACTCACAGATTACGAATATAAATGCGAGTATCTCAAAGTCCTACGGATTTATATTCGTGTCAAACCCTACTTCCTACGGTGCCGAGGATGTCCGAGGCGCATGGATCTCCGATCTATATCTCTTACTTTTATATACATTCAAACCTATATCCAAAAGCGGTGAAGACAGAAGGCATGTCATTTGCATCGAATGTCGGTCCAGTAAGGGGCGAATCCTAGGTCACGATATGTTGCTTTGGGTCTCCTCCAGAGCTCATGTTCGCGCAAGTATACTCCGCGCATATAGCAGAAACGCCAAGTGTCTTGTTTCCTTTACATTAATGACTTCTCAACTTACCAAAACAGCCGGAAATAGTGTATTCAACTTCTCCCTCTAATCACCTTTTGGAGAGAAAACATCAAATTCTCCTCCTTCATCTACATTCCTATTGTCGGAATGGTTTCCGGTGGTGCATTCTCGGCATGCAAGAGGGCCAGTTCAGCATGTATTATTACATATATTGACGGGGAAATCTAGGAGATTCTATACACCCGTCTACACTCTAAGTTAATGTTGATATAATTGTCTTGTGTGATAACATCAAGCGTCGAACAATAGACGGTTCGAAGAATCCTCCAAACCTCCCACGATAGAAAGTAGCTGAGAAGAGAGATTTCTTGTCTGGGGGGTTGATATACTCCCACAGAAAAGCAGAGTCACACCGTGAATATGTCCCTAACAGCTAAATACATAGTTCCCTTCATCAACACGTCAGCCGAATCCATGAGAGAGTGGAACCTCATTCTGGTAGCCCTGTTTGTTTAACCGATTTGCTTAACCGAAAATGTCACACTCGGCAACGTCCGAGGTACAACCAGTCTAGGCACACAAGTCAAGATATTTGAACACAACCAAACTCTCACCTGCAGTAGTGCGAGTAGATGTTCATGCAAGTTTTGCAGAGTACCGAATCCCCGAAGTTCCCGCGGTGCTATATCGGGTAGCAGTAGCGAGATTCTTTGTTAACGAGCCACGATACATCGAGTGCTATGACCCATGGTAGCTCATTGGAGAG